GTGGTCAAAACAACTTCCACATCATCAGAGAAAGCAGCCTGTGTCCTGTAAGGCAAAACCCAGGGGAAAGTCCACAAGGCTGCTGCCTCACAAGCTGATTACTGTGGGCGACGGGTAACAAAAGAAGGCAGACCAGAGGAGAATATCAACGTTTTAATCAACTCTTTTGTCGTCTGGATTCTGGAAAAAGTGACGAGTAAAGTGTTTAGAGAGATTTTAAAACTAAATCATGTCTCTCTTCAGGAGCTGCTATTCTTCAGCTGTCAGGTATTCAGTGGGCATCACCGTGTGTTCACAGCTACAATCAAATTCATTCACACTGTCACTTCTGTCTAAATACTCACACTGGCATCTGTGTGTGTGTTTGACAGGCATAAAGAGAGTGTGTGAAAGAGAGAGAGAAGTAAACATGCCTGGAAATACAAAGACTGTGATGTTTCATTCATTGCGTTGTCAGTATGAATAATAGATAGCTGATTGATATGCAGTACATCACACACACATACACGCACACACTTCCATGTGTGTGTGATCGCACTCTGAACTAATATTTGTAAGGCTCAGTTGTCATTTCACATTCAAATTCATCAAAAGAGGCAAAAGATCAAAAGCCAGACACAAACATACACTCACACAAATACAAACGCACACACACACACACACACACACACACACACACACACACACACACACACACACACACACACACACACACACACACACACACACACACACACCATGTATACATTACTTCAGGGGACATTACATTGACTTATATGCATTTCCTGGAGACTTATCCTAACCTTAACCATAACCAACACATGCCTAACCCTAACCCTTAACCTTACCCTAACCAAGTCTTCACCCTAAAATTAATGATTCCCCTTATGGGGACCTCCATTATGTCCCCATAAGGGAGGCGAGTCCCCACACGTGACTGTGTAAACAGATTCAGGTCCCCACAAGTATAGTAATGCTAGGCCACACACACACACACACACACACACACACACACACACACACACATACACACACACACACACACACACACACACACACACACACACACACACACACTTCATACAAAAGGTAAATAGAAAGAAGTCCAATGTCAGTGGTTCCCAACTTTAAATAGTGTTTTTCTCCCCAAAATATAAAAAAAGCCAATGGGATAATGTGGCAAACACGCATTTATGATACTAATATTTTCAGCAGGATAATCTCATATTAACTCCACTTTGTGATTTTTGAAGCATAAATGCAATCACCAGAAGCAAAATGCTAACGCTAGGCTATAAAGGAGCTACATCGTCACATGACTTCACGTCACCACCGCTAAGCTAACAGCCAGCGGCTAATGTTTGACATGATGGTGTTTAAAAGACTCATTCAGACATTTGTTAGCAACCACTTGCTTTTAAAACACATAGAAGCTTTAGACGTTCACCTGTCGGATTTTTACTAATGGATTTTACGTTGTAGAACAAAATGTCAACATTTCTTAAGAGACAAGGGAACCAGAAGTGCTAAAAAGCGTACTATTTCCCAGATTCAGGACTCATTACCGCACCACACTATGACATAAAGATGTTTCAGTTGTCTCCATGTTGATTGCACAAGCAAGGAGGAAAACAGAGGGAAAAAATGCACAAGTAATTTGAGAATGTCTGATGTGAGAATAAAAGAAAGACAGTCTGATAGAACGAGGGAATGAGGAGAAAGTTGTGGAAGAACAGAAAACTCTTTTTATCTCTCTTGTTAGAGTTGAAGGACAAACAGTGTTATGAAAGTTTGAGAGCAGACAGAAAAACAAGCCTCACAAACTGCTTGTGCTCAGTCTGCATTTGAACGCCCCCATACCTGTCTCCTGGGAAACCGGTGTGTACGACACACACACACACACACACACACACACACTCCTGTTCTTCTATCTTTGTGATCATTGACATGCATTACCTAGCCCCTTACCCGAAACTTAACCAACACAAATAAATACCTTACCCTGACTTAAAGTGGCCCTATTATGCTTTTTTGGGTTTTCCCTTTCCTGTAGTGTGTTATATAGGCTTTTGTGCATGTAAACCGTCTGCAAAGGCTAAAATCCATAAGTTCCCTCCAGAAGGAGTTTCTCTCCCAAACACTGCCTGAAACGCCTCCATTGGACTCCTTTGTTTACTCCTGTAACATAGTGACAACACTATTTGAAACTCGCGGTTCTATTGGCTAGCGCTCCAACACATTGAACGCTAAAAGGCAGGACATCTCTAAGCGGTTGACTAATCACAACAGAGCCAGCCAGCTAACCAATCAGAGCAGACTGGGCTCTGGTTTCAGACATAGGGTGAAAAGAGGTGCTGCAGCACAGGCAGTATGAGAAAAATAAAGAGCTTTTTGAACATTAAAGCATGGAAACATGTCCCAGTAGAGACACAAAATAATACTAATATGAAGCTGAAAATGAGCAGAATTTGTCCTCTTTAAATCTCTAAAAATGTCCTCACTTTGTCAATGAAATTGACTTGTCCTCATTATGCACCATGAACAAGAACAAGAACACACACACAAGTGCCTGAAAGAGCTGAGGAGTGAAGCAAAGACAGAAAGAGAGGTGGGGCAATGAGTTCACACACTCCCATACACACACACAATTGCATCTCTACTCCTCCACTCGCTGTGTTTAGGCTGCAATGAAACTTCAGCCAATAGAATGCCTCTGTTCTTGTGATGTCGACCAATCAGAACGCTGCATGCTGACACACCCACAAGAGGGTGTGTGAGGCGCTGCTGAGGTAGGATGGAGGATGTGTGTGCCAGAGTATGTGAGGATGTGTGTTCCAGTGTGTGTGTGTATGTGTGTGAGTGTGAGTGTGAGTGTGAGTGTGAGTGTGTGTGTGTGTCAGTCAGTCAGAGGAAGCTCCCAGCAGGTTCTGATGTTTTGCTGATGTTGGTCCTTTGGGAGAAGCAGAGAGGCGGCCGAACCCCTGACTGCTGCTCTCACCGTGAAACAGGAACACACACTCAGTTCATGTCAGCAAAGATTTGATTACACGTGGGCACACAGGAATTCAAAAGACACACACACACACACACACCCTTGCCAGCTCTTTGAGGGCAGTCATGAACGGTCAGCATGGAAAATGTGTCTCCCGCGGTCAGCTCTGCAGCAGAGGAAGCTGAACTTTCCTCCATTTTATCACAACCAGCAGCTTCATTACTGGGCTGCCAAAATGGAGGCCTGATGGAGTCCAGTGATGATTAAAGGGGCAGATCACACAAACTGAACCCAGGCACAACAGCACAGGAAACACAAACATGAGAGCAGCTCATTAAGGTGAGCGAGCAGCTTCTTCAGGCAGTGAAAGCAGCAGGAGACGAGGAGATGGAGGAGGAATATCAACAAGGAGGAATCAGCTGAATATCTATAGGCTGTTCTTCACTGTTTGTAGTGGAAAAGTAAAGCTCTCTTATTAGAATATAACCCACGTTATCTGGAAGCAGGAGGGCAAATAATACATGGGTCAAACAAACACGTTTTTCACAAAGGAGACCGCTGTCTGTGTATCGGGAAGAAAAAAGGTTACAGTGACTTATTTTAAGTATATTTTTTACATACTATCAACGTATAATTTACGTTTGAACCTAGAGCAAGTAGTTGGTTAGCTTAGCTTAGCATAAAGAGTGGAAACATCTAGCAGGACTGTTAGCAAAGTTAACAAAATCCAACTAACAGCCCCCTCCTAAGCTCACTTACACTTAGTCAATGTGTACAATTCCAGTAGCTATGCTAAGCTAACACATCTGACATTAGCCTAATACGACTGGTGTCAATCTTCTCATCTGACTATTGGCAAGAAAGTAAATAAGCCCTTTTCCCAAAATGTTAAATCTTTAAGTAGTAACTTAAATTCAAAATGAATGCTGCTCGATTCCTGCTAATTAATGACATAAGAGAACAAAACCTGCCAAAAAAAGTGGGACGACTGGATAAAGTGCAGTATTTTAGCATCAAGAGAGACTCACATAACACCAAAGGTACAGTTCCATCTGTTTATTGATTAACTATAAAATATTGAGTTACTAAAACAATTTGAAAGAAACACTGATAAACGTGGTTGCTGTCTGTAAAAAAAAAAAAAAAAAACCTTACACATACAGTATAGGGTGACAGAATATATCATGATTCAGATTCATCTCTAAAATGTATTCATTTTTTGCATTTTTACAAGATTAGACATGTGTACAAAGTACATTCTGATAGCTTTTTACTCCACTCGACAGTGAAGGATCATTTACAAAACGTAGAGGATTTTTTTAATATTTATTTTCAAAATAATCTTTTTTGTAGTCTGTAACAGGACGATAACGATACTGAAGGAACAGCAGACGAAGAACCAGCCTCCAGTCCACCTCTCTCTCTCTCTCTCTCTCTGTCTCCCATTCTCTCTTATAGTCTCTCTCTCTCTCTCTCTCTCTCTCTCTCTCTCTCTCTCTAGCAGCTAGCTCCCTGCCTTTTAGCAGTATTGCTTGCGAGGCGTGGACGATTGTTCAAAGAGGGGAAGCAAAGGGGGGAAACTAATGACAAAAACATGCAAAAAGAAATATATATATACAAGAATTAAAAAAATAAATCACAGCAAAACAAACATTTTTAAAGAAAAATGTGATAAAAAGAACATTTTTACAAAGATAGTCTGAAAACAAATGAAAATGAAGGCGATAAGTGGGCAATAAGTGTTCATGTGTGTGTTGGACCCTGTTTGAAGGCCTAAGGCTGGGCTTTGGATGGAGATAGGGGGCGCAAATAGAGATTGGAAGGCAATAACACACACTTTTAAGGTGTGTAAGATTGTGTATCTTAACAAACACACACAGGAAAAAAAAAGTGCTTTTGCAGCTCGAGGGGTAAACAAACATTCATAACTTGTTCACTCTGCAAACACCGGCGCGACCTGTGTACCCATTACTGCTCAGATAAACCAGAGCAGATCCATTTTGTCCGACTGTCACTCAAGATGTTTTTGTCTGAAGAAATGTGTGTGTCAGCCTGAAGGAGAAGACGGGGGGATTTAGCAGATAGGATTTTTTGTCTGTCATCAATCGATCGAGTAATCTCAGAAAACACTACACTCTGTACCTTGGTAAATCACTTTCAATACTCGCAGCAAATTAACTTTTCCTTTACTGAAACGCTTCTATACTGGCAGACGTCTTTTTTCTTTTTAATCTGGGATATAAGCCACATTAACAACATTAACATCTTGGGACGTCACGCAAGCCTTCACAGAGTCAAACATGATATAGACTATGATAAAACAACCAAGAGATCTCAAAAGAGTAGAACATATTAAAACTATTGAATATCAACAAGACAATCTTCAATCTCTGCGGCGAAGCAGAGAGAGGGCAACGTGGCACGAGAAAATCAACATGATAATCACAGATATATACTACGCATACAGTATGCAATATACTGTATATAGATCTGATACAAACTCTATACACAATAGTGTAACAAAGTGGGTTAACAGCTCAGTAAACGGAGGGTTGTTTGGACTTTAAATCGCAAAGAAGAAAGGCATTTTGGGGGAAAACGCCAATCTGACCAATCAGCAGTCTTGCTTTGATGTTGGGGGCGGGACCTAAAGAGATTTGGCGAATCATCATAAGGCCTGGGAGAGAAAAAGGCCGCCCAAATGCTCACAACCCTGAGCACGACATTCAACAGTCTCACCCTAAAAAACGGTTAAACTAGGCACATAGAAAAATATTCATAAGCAGCTAAAAGAGGGGAGAACATGTTTGTTTATCTTTATGTGCGATCGGGGGGGGTTAGGTAAATACTTTAGGAAGACATACAAGACTCCCAGTCATTAAAAAGTGCACTCATTTCAAACGTGATTGCTCAGAGGGTCGAAAATGTGATCGAACAGGGTGAAGATAGACGCCCAGAAGCAGAAAGTAAAAAGATATTGCTAAGACAGGACATTTAGAGGTTGAAAACACTGCAGCCAAGTCGAGATGATGCCAAAGTGTGGAACTGTACAAATTGAATTATGTTCGTGATGGTATCACTGCTGGCAGCTTCATCAGAGATATGACCTTGATGCGGCTCGGACTGCAATGCTTACAACCTTGAAGAACAGCTACAAAATAAAAGGATAAATCCACCCGACACTCTCAGCTTGTTCGGTCACTTTATGATCAAGTGTTTTCTTTGCATCGTTGCCCATTTTTCCTAAGTTTCTTCAGAATTCCAGTTTTGGATATCCCCCGAAACTGCGGTCTTTTTTTGGGGGGGGAAATTACCCAGAAGTACCTAAGTGGCAGCCATGATAAGAGCTGTTTTAAAACTGTCTTCGCCCGATGAGTACCAGAAACCCTGATTTGTTCTGCGTTGGTGCGAAAATGCAGCTACTGCCTGTCACTGCTCTGGTTTTACAGCGTTGTTAAGATTGAAATATTGAAGGCGGTAGAGAAACGACTTTTGTCCTGATATTTCTTTTTACTTTTCGACCGCAGCCTGAATCTTGTAGCTCGGCTGTGGCTCAGTGGATAGAGTGCTGGACTTCGAATCAGGGGGTAACAAGTTCGAGTCCCACTGCAGTCAGCATGTCGTTGTGTCCCTGGGCAAGACACTTCACCCCAGATTGTTCCTGTGGGGATTGTCCACAGTACTGAATGTATGTAAGTCGCTTTGGATAAAAGCGTCTAACAAATGACATGTAATGTCTTTTTGTCAAAGTAATGTTTTAAAAGCAAAAATGAGCACTCAATAAAATCCAGGACATTCGAACAGCAGCTGGCTTCATTGTGTTCTCGGGTGGATTTATCCCTTTAAGACAAGGAACTCAAGGATGAAAATGGGAAGTGCTTTTAAACATATTCCTTCCTCTCTTTTGAATCCCGAGTCTCTGAGGGACAAACAGTCTGCCTGCGTTTAGTTAGGATTGTCACGGGGAGTTGAATCGGTTAAAATAAGTGTTTTATTATTTTAAAAATCTGTTAAAGCGCTCTCTGTTGGACAGCAAAGGATACCTCTGTCTCTTCCTGTGCGTCTGTTTCTCTGTCTGTCGCTCCTGCTGTTCTGTACATTAACATGACTGTAACGTGACTGTAACACCACCACGGCAACATCATAACAACCGTCTCTCTTCATCATTCACAGTTCATTAAAGCTTCTCCACTGTTTAGAAAAAAGTACTCTGACATAAATCTGTTACATGAAAATAAAACACGTATTTGTCCTCTATATAACGTGTGTGTGTGTGTGTGGAGTATTTACACGTGTGTTTACGGGGAGTATATTTACAGTAAAGAGACTGGTGTGTGTTCTCAACATTTCCCACGAACACAGCACCAGTAAATGTAAATGGAGAGTGTGTGTGCAAAAGAGACTGATTTCCTTGTAATACCGTCTATAGTGTCTCCTTTTCTGTAGTAGAAGGTGTGTTTAACAGTCTGTCGTGTTGTCATTAAAAGATCCATCATGATTCAGATCAGTGTTGGACTCATGATTTTGGTTTTGGGAGTTTGTGTGTGTTTAGCAGATGACTGGGACTCCGTCGGTGTTGAAGATCATGCCGGTGGTGGGCTCGTAGGTGCCGGCCAGGTAGTAGAGGTCCTCGCTGTCGGCGTACTTCCGGGTGAGGGTCATCTGCTCGTACTCCTCCACGCTCACCACCAGGCACTTGTGGCTCACCGTCTGCACGTCGTTCTCGTCGCTGTGGGACGACTGGTAGAGGGCGCGCTGTGGAGGGAACACAGGATTTTATTAGAAATAGCTACATCGATGAAAGTTTTAGGTCACAGGCTCCTCCAACAGTGCAACACAATAAAACAGATTAAATAGTGCAAGTAAATACTAATAAAAACAAATAAAATAGAATTGAAATAGTACAATAATATACTTTTCATATATTGTGGATCAAAAACATGCTACTTTTCTACCCAACTAGATAATTCACTGCAATGTCTAGTGTCTTTGGAGTCCAACAAACTTTGTGTTGTTCATTTAACTCCAATCAGATCATGGCAAGAGTAATGTATTAGAAAAAGGAATTGTATTAAATATATGCAAATAGTAATAGATTTGTTACAAATGTTACTTTAACTTCTTATGTTTAAATAACTACTTTACTTTTTTTTCTTGAACTATTTATTTTAATTTTTATCTTTTTTATTTGATCTTTTATTGGAGATGTTACTTTAACTTTTTATATTAAATATCTTTATTTCTTTTGATTTCAAATCTTTATTTCACTTTCTTATGTTTTTATAAATATTTCCTATTTTATTTATTTCAGTTTAAAATTGAGCTTTCCCCGGGACATATGCATATTCTTATTCAGAAATGTATTTGCTATTATAAATTAAAACAATAAAAAAAAAATGTTTTGTTGAACTATGAATATTATGAAATTATTTATATAATAATAATAATACATTTGTAAAGCACCTTATAATATATATAACATGATAATTAAAAAGTTTCGATAGTTGGCCCTAAAAAAACCCAATAACCTACTTTATTCTTCTTAATCTATTAAAGTTTAAAGTATAAAACAGTGAATAAATAAAGCTTTCCGTTAACACACCCATTGCCTATTAAGCTACTATCACTGTTCACTGATGTATTCAGTTATATATTCACTTCTTTGACAACATTTAACTACATTAAAGGGGACCTATCATGCAAAATGCACTTTTTGATGTCTTTTATACATAAACATGTGTCCCCGGTGTGTCGGGGAACTCACGCAGCGTCAGAAAATAAAACCCTCTCTCTTTTCCTCCGTACCCAAATCTCTAAAAACGGGGGTACAACGGAGCTGATCCAGATTTGCGTCCGATATGACGTAATATCTGAAATGTGGACCCACGGCCCTATCAGAAAGTTGCTATCAGAAACAATGCCCGACTGTTTTGGACGTAATATGGTCGGTGTTTACATTAGCATCGCTAACACTCAGAGCTAACCTGTACTGGAGAGCATGTGTGTGAAGAAGCAGGAAATAAAAAGGAACTCACCTTGTGGTATAACCGGCAAGAGAGAAAGCCTTTGAGCTCCATACTGTTTCAGAAATAATCCTTGATAATCCATGATATGGCGTTTCATCACGGCAGCATTTAGTTTAGACAGTAGCTGCCGGGTCCCGCATGAGCTCAGCCCCCTTTTTTTTATTTTTTAAAAAAGCTTTATACCCCAAATCATCACTTTTGAAACAGGAAGTGAAATAGAGGGATATGAGGCATGGCTAGAATGGGTGATCTGTTTGGTATTTGGAGCAAAACACTTCATAGACATGTTTTTTATATTTTTGTATCTGAGACTTATGCTATTGCCTAAAAATAGCATGATAGGTGACTTTTAAGTCCGTTTTGGGCCTCCATATTTTCTAAGTATAGCTTCTCTCAGCTTTATGGTTATAATAAAATCTAACGGGGCTTTGAAGCCAGAAGATCAGAGGTATATAAAACGCTTTCTCTCTCACCTCCATGAAGTCTTTCCTCTTGATGGAGGAGTGCAGAGCTGAAGGTAACGACAGACCGCACATCTGATCCCAGTTCTGCAGAGGACAGAGTGTTAATCTTTTAAATGTGTGTTCAGTCTTTTACTAAACAGATATGAAAGAATCGTGCATACAATCCTAAAAAAAGTCTAATGGTTTTTTAATGACATAGCACAATGATAGATGCTTTGAGGAAATAAGAGAGGAGGAAGACTCTATTAGTTATGAGATTGGATTAAAATAAATCCCTTTCATTAATTACATTCCCTGACATTAAAAAGGGTTTGAAACCTCCGCAAGATTAAAACAATTAACAAACAAAAATATATTTGACTGAATAACCAATAAGAATTGTCTAAACCCCAGGAAGTGTGCCATCAAATGTTCATAGTGGCCAAATGGTGGTACTACAGCTTGACACGTGTCAGGCCAAAAATACTTTTTCCCAATAGGCACGTTCACACCGCAGTACTTTTCCCACTTTAGTTCCGATATAGTTCCGAAATGTTGCGTTCACACCAAAAAAAATCCGGAACAAAAATTAGTTCATGAGAACCTTTTTACCCCCTTTTCCGTCCCTGCTAGAGAGCAGGGACTTTCGTGGGAGAAAAAGGTTCCTATTTCTATTGGCTGGGCGGATTGCAAACCACGCCCCGTAAAACTCCCAAAAAGTTTTGTGAAGCCGCCATTTTATTATCCTCGCATTAGCATTATTAGCATTAGCCCAGCGCACAAACGGAGAGAGACTAACTTATGGCAACACAAAAGAAAACATGGGAGTGGTGGAGTGATGAGGAGGTGTCGGCGTTCTGGCGATTTACTCAGAAGGCTTCAGTAGAAGCTGCTGGGAGTCCCAGCAGCTTCCACTGAAGCCAGTCCCCAACTCCGGGGACTTCGGGTGGCAGTATACGCCGTGAAGTGGTTTGCGGCCTGCCAGTAAACCCAAAGCAGAAGAAGAAGAAGTGACGTCAGCGGCTTCATTTGACTAATCCTCCCTCAGGAACTTATTCCGGTGTGAACGCGATCTGTACTTAGTTCCATGGGGGTACTAAGTGCTGGGAAGTACGGCAAAGTACTTGGTGTGAAAGCAGCTAATGACTTACATTAGGAAAGGGATGTTGTATTTAACACAATCAAAAATGATTGAAAAACCCTTATTTAACTCATAAGGGACGAAAAGTTGTAACATTTCAAAAAGCTGAAACCTCCATTCCTCTCACCTGGCTAGACAGGAAGTGGTGGAGCTGATTGGAGGCGGGGCTTAAGGAAAAAGCAAATGAGCATGCTCTGTGGGACCAATCGTCCAAACATCTCTGACAAATGTGGGTATTTCTGCCCTCGAGTAACAGGTTCTTTTGGCCTCATGCACCACAGAGCAACTTTTATAGGAATAAACAGGATCCCGCCTCAAAGTCTTTATATTAAAGCAGCACTACGTCGGCACCAAGCAAAAAAAAAAGTTTAATCATGCCTAAAAGCAGCTGTGTCGCGAATTGCACGTAAAACAACGAAATGATCCAAAGTTCAGGTTTTCTATACTTTAACTTAGAGAAAAGGACAATGAAGGAAAGATCTGTGGCATCGGGACATCCAGAGAGAGGATGTACAGGTAGTGACCGGATAATTTCATGGAGTTTTTTGACGCCTACTGTTAGAAAAATCTCACTCGTCACCGGCTTGAGCTTCAATAATCAGGTTACATGTATTTATTATCCTCTCAAGAATGGAAGTAGTCATCACATACAGAGCATTTGGGACAACTAGTGTCCTTCACATGCTGATATACAAGAGAGGGAGTTACACAGTCACAAGATGGAGGAATACCGGTTCAAAGCAGTATACAATGTTTAGTTTAGATTAGCTAAGACCTGTGTAAGCAATAAACATGACAGTCATATGTCTATCTCCCTAGGGGCTGTCATCATGTTTAATCGTTGAACATAGCTATCGTATGTTCAACACGGTGTCTCATGAGCTTCTTCTAGGTAATCATACATCCTGTCACGTACACAGTCACGTAGGGCCTTTGTTATCATGTGTGACTCTGATATTGGAAGAGTACATTCAGTATTTTCCCAACACCTACCTTCTTGTCGATGAGTTTCTTGCCGGGGTTAGTCTCCTCGGGGTGGTAGAACCAGTTGACCCGGACCACCATGTTGCTGCCCCACGACTCCCACATGCTCTGGATGCGTCCGATGAACGGTAAGTTGGGTCGTCCGGCGGACAGGAAGACGGCGCAGTCTCCGATGCGGATCATCTCCCGGCCGCGCACGATGGCCTTATAGAAGAGCTTCTTCGCCTTGCCTTTCATACCCCGTCTCTGTGGGGGGGAGAGGGGGAGAGAGACGGGTCAGGGAGAGAAAACGAGGGGGGGGATTTGGTACATTAGGGGCCTGTGTCTACATAGCGCCTTTTACTGGCAGGGTTGAAACGCTCACAGCTGTTTATTATTGTTTCTATGACATATGGTATCTTGACAGTGTATTACATACTTGCTTCTCCCCCATGGATTTTTTTGTCTGTTTTTGTTTGTTTGACATCATTTCTTTCAGCATTACAACCAACAGGAAGATACTTGCTCTCACACTTTGTCTGAATAAGCTTAACATTTTTAGTTTTTGGTCTTTACAATTACACATTTTCTTCATTTATTAAATGTAACTTTTTGTTTTGTTTTTCACCTGGACCCTACTTTCGCATTTTTTGTGTCTAAGTACAGTTTTTTAAAGGGCTGCAGTATTGAGGAATGAGCAATGTGACTCATAATAAGAAAAGGACCCTGATGTTATTTATATGCATGATGGATATAAGCAAGAAGTCTCGTTCGGAAATCTCACGTTGCTTCCACATTGTGGAAATATTCAGTCATGACATTTTTAAATCTTTTAGACACTAATTATATAACTTCTGTACTCCCAGACAACAAACTTTGACCACAGTGATACTCCTCTCTCCAAACTGACAAAGAACCTTATTTTTATAAAATAACATCATTGTTTGAAACAGAAAATCCTCTCAGCCATAAGGAATGCAGTCAGGTATTAATGAATTAATGAATGAGTAATGAAAAGGACATATTTGCACCGTGTACATGTGAAGTATTTGAAACAAATGTATTTATGTTGCTTATAAAGTGATGAAGTCGGACAAATAGATCGAATATTAATTATAAAAATCTGTTTTGCCATCAAGCTCTCTCTGATTGGATGTGTGTTGCCATGGACACACATGGCACCAGGACCAATGGAACGTTTGGGTTTGACCTGGAGTTCTAGAACTTTGGTTCTCATGACAACCGAGCACTGAACGTAAACAGGAAGGCTCTTCTGAGGACTTCAATCACTCTACAGCCAGCAGTCAGCCATAGACGCATTCAGTCAGAAACCAGTCAGTCTAACAAAGACAACACACAGCTTCGACAGACAACTACACTCTTCTACACTCGCACAAGTCTACACACTGTGCCACGGACAGACGAGGCTTCCAGCCCAACAGGGGGAAACCTGTGGATCGCGTTGAACTCGCCTGCAAGCAGATCCACTGCAGCAACGGGCAGATATCCGGCCTGACTGAGTTATACGCTGAGTATCACAGAGAGAGGAATAACTTTTGCCACAGGGTGCGAGCAGAGAAAGACAAACGTCTCAAGGAACTCCTGGATTACAGGGACACAGGATTTTCCGAAGAGCATATAAAGCAGTTTAACACCATCATGGAGCGTGAGGAAGACATCTCATATCTGAGGGAAAGTCTGTGCCAACAAAGCCAGCAGCAGACATCCGACAGCCAGAAACATGGTGGTCTCCTGCAGGCCGAAACAGAGACCGCAAGAATGCTGATGAGGAAAGTTGAAGATCTCCTTCAGTTCATTACAATCTTGGAGGATAAATGCAGCGCTGAGAAGGAGAAGATGGAGGCGGAGAGCCAACTCATGCAGCAGGTGGACGAGATGATTACAAGGTTTGAGGCAGAGAAAGAGATCTCAGACCAGATCAACAAGGAGACATCCGACAGCCTGGACAAGGAGAAGCTCCTGCGACTGGAGACAGAGAACACCAACGCTGAGCTCCGTCAGAGCGTTACAGCCTGGCAGCTCGACTGCAGCTCTCTGCAGGAGCAGGTCCTCAAAGAAGTGGCTCTGAAACAGAGCAGGGAGGCTGAAGTCCAACAGCTGGAGACCAGATTGAAGGGGCAGGAAGAAATATTCTTCAAACACCTGGCCGAAAACCACCAGAGATGGATCAGGAGGAGAAACAACTGGGAGAACAGCAAAAGTGATCTTTTTTGAATGCAGGCAGCATTAAAAATAATGCTAAATTAAATTAAAATAAATACATTTAATGAAATTACAAAAAGAAAAACGTCCATGTCAGTCTCTCTGAGTGAACATGTACTGTATACGGTAATTATGGTATGGTATTTTGGAGACTAAACTAGTAGATGTACCGGTATCTGTTTAGTTTATTATGTGAACAACACTGAATCTAATGAATAAAACATCTAATAAGAGATGTATGTAAAGATAGATGCAGGTTTTTTTATATTTGTCTCACTAAACAGGTTCATTTCATACAAGCTCTTAAAATATTCAAGTTATAAAAGTACATTTTCAAATGATGCAGTGATGTATTTCTAATACACTCAGTATTTAAAATTGGCATATTTGAACAAATATTTTAAATAGTTTATTATAGATAAAACTGAATATTATAATATATTATAACTATATAATAATTTGAAAAGAGTCATGGCTCGTAATGAGTACGTTTGATACTTTAAAGGTCCCCTATTATACTGTTTTCCATCAATATATTATAGGTCTCAGATATATACAGAGCCTGTCTCTGATTGGCTGAAACACCAAACAGATCATTGCAGCATCCCATAATCCCCTCTGTTTCAGCCCTGTTTCAAAAGTGCTGATTCTCTGTCTGTTACTTTAGATGAAAATAAGGAGCCCCTCCCCACGCCCCTCTGAGAGATATTTGGTTCAAAAGAACACAATGGTGCTCTAGGAGGAGATTCAGGTGATAAGGTGGGGGGGGGGGGTTACCTTGGTTGCTGATTGGCTAATGGTCACACAAGACAAAACATCGTTATGAAATCACAAAGTGGCCAAAATCTGATCAGCTCATTTTCAGACAGGCTTTTATATAAATGGATCAGGACAAAAAGAGAGAGAATCTTTTTTCCTGAAACTTTCAGAGTGTCTTTACACAGAGGGGACACATGTTGATGTAGAAAAGACATGAACAAGTGGATTTTGCATAATAGGTCCCCTTTAAGTACATTAAACTAACTAAGTTTTTCTCTTTTATGCTACTTAATACTTCTACGTCCGGTGCCTTGCTCAAGGGCACCACGGCAGGGCCCAGGAGGTGAACTGGGACCTCTCCAAGTAGCAGTCCACACTCCATATTTAGGTCTGTTCGGGGACTTGAACCCCAGACTGACTGTGCCACTGTCGGACTGACTGTGCCACTGTCGGACTGACTGTGCCACTGTCGGACTGACTGTGCCACTGTCGGACTGACTGTGCCACTGCCGGACTTCTTCCACATCTGGAATGTTCCATCTAGTCTTGTTTTTCCTCAATCTCAATCTTTATTTATTTATATAGCATATTTAAAACAACCTCAGTTGACCGAAGTGCTTTACAGGCAATAAATAAAATATCAAATAATTCCTCACCTGAGTGGGTTTTCCGAACCACTTCCAGAGTTGTCGGGCTGGAAGGAACGCAGATATTTTGGGTCTGTTCTCCACGCTGGGGAGCCGCTGACGTTTGGCCAGCTCCTTGGTGGTGGGCATGTGGACCCCCTCCCTCCTCTTCGGCCTGCCCACCTTCCCCTCCCCTCCGCTGGGCTTCGGTTTGGGAGGACGACCCCTCTGCCCGGAGCCTTTCCCGGTCGCTGGTTTCACAGGTTTGACGGGAGCAGGAGGCGTCGGAGAGGACGAAGGAGAGGGAGATTCTGAGGGAGGAGACATCTCTTCTTCTTCCTCCTCTTTCACCACCTCCTTCTTCACCACCTCCTTCTTCACCACCTCCTTCTTCACCACCTCCTTCTTCACCACCTCCTTCTTCACTTCCTCCTTCTTCACTTCCTCCTCTTCCTCTTTCGGTTCTTCTTTCGCTTTCTCCTGTACTGGAGGAGGTGTGATTGGCACTGGAGGAGGGGTGGAGGTCCTCTCTTCATCCGAGCTGCAGGAGGAGTCATCGGTGGACGAAGAGGACGAGGACGAGGACCCTGACGAAGAAGACGAGGAGGAACCGGAGCAAGACGAAGAGGAGGACGAGCAACTAGAGGTGCATTTCTTCTTCTTCTTCTTCTTCTTCACCTTGTCACGTTCCTCCTCCGACTCTGAGCTGCTGCTGCTGTGAGATTCCTCCTTCTTCACCTTCCTCTCTACCTCCTTTTTGCCTTTCTCTTCCCTCGTCTCCTGTCCTCTTCCACGGTTCTCCGCCTTCTCCTTTGTTAGAATCGGCGGTTTGCAGTGAGCGTCTTTCTCTGGAAGAACACACTCTCTATCAACTCTCGGTTTCACCTTCACCAGCTTCTGATTGGTCGAGGCGATGGGCGTGTGATCTGCTCTGACGTTCCGACCCTCCAGTAGCATCAGAGCTTTAGTCTTCTTGGTTTTTGGAGAGGTGACGCCTTCGTGGTCCAGCTTCACGAGAGGCTCTGCCGGTAAAGACTTGCGCCTCATCAGAGAGTCCCCTTGTCCGGAGCTGGATTTGGGCCGCGAGACGGCGCCGGGTCTGGAGGAAAGACGGTCGGACGCCATCTTCAGTTTGGGTCTGGGGGCGGAGGATGACGATAAAGAAGGTCTGGAAGTCAGAGGTTTGCTGGATGACATTCTGGAGATGGAGCCGGGTATGAGTCCAGAGCCGGGTATGAGTCCAGAGCCGGGTATGAGTCCGGAGCCGGGTACGAGTCCGGAGCCGGGTATGAGTCCGGAGCTGTGGCTCGATCTGTGATGCTCCGAGGAGGGTTTGGTTTTGGGCGAGGATACTGAAGAGGGCCTGGATGAAGACTTGGGGGATGTAATATTGGGTCTAATTAAGGGTCGGTTTGAGGTGGGACTGACGCCGTTTTCTCGATCTCTGCGCTGGTTTGTGTACGAGCTGAGGTTGGGTTCGCTGTACAGATCCACCGTCAGGACCTTTCCGTAGGTGGAGGGGTAGAGGGACGGAGGCAGAGAGCGGGATTGTTTAACCGCAGAAGTTGGGGGGGGCTTTCCTGGAAATCGGTAGTGGAAGAATAGGGCTACTTAGTGGGGACGTAGTGGAGATTTTGCGGCCCGGTTTCTGATGGGGTCCTATCGTGGGGCGGGATGCGGGACGAGGTTTCTCCGGAGAGTTCTTCTGCACAGAGGAAGGTCTGTCCTGGGGAGGCTTGGGTGGAGGCGGGGGTCTCTCTGCGGGCGCGCTGGAGGAAGACGGAGGATCAGCTTTCTCCCGGACGTCTGGGTTCACGGAGGTCTCTGAGAGGAAAAACAACACAAAGGTTAGACTTTACTGGAAACCATGATGTTTTCTTTCTGTGGTGACGGGATTTTTGTGGTTGTACGTGGAGAAAAGAAAAAGGAAATGATTCTGAAAACTTTAAGAACTGCTTACCTAGAGGAAAGAAAGGTAGAACAAAAACACAGAGCTGATAATAGATGGAGAACATGGATTTAATACGGCAAAATCTAACTAAAATAAAACTTTTATGCTCTTTCTCATTTTTGAATAACGGCCAAAACAATTAGCACGTTTTCCCTGCAATCATTTTCAGTTCTGCTTACTGTATGTCTGTACGTTATTGCCTATGTATGTATAAGTATACAGGTACGTGTGTATGTGTATAAGTGAACATTGGTACAAGTGGGTATATATGTGTGTATGAATGTACATTTAAAAGATCATCCCTCTTCATTTTTGACCCTTGATGAAGTATGAATTGTATAAATTGAAGCAAGGGGTGGCTCTGGGACTTTTGTGGTGATGTGCTGAGAAAAGTAGACAAATGAAGGAAACGATTCTAAAAATGAAAGCATTGCATTGAAGAACTGCTTAGCCAGTAGAAACAAGACGAGCGTCAGCGAATTAGACACAACACATCATTTGTTAGAGAAACAGACTCTGGACAACAACGGAGGTCTTCATTAAAGTGACAACAGAGATGACAGTCACAGTCAAGTACGAGATGTTTGATGAAAGATCTTTCTGAGTGTGGAGCTATTTCTGTTTGGGTCTGATGTCTTAAAAAGATTAATCAAAAGGCGACGGAAAAGCATGTTTGATTTGACTTCTTTAATGGTCTTTATGATAAATAGTTTGAATAAGGACATCAACAATCTGCATGTTACTATCAGTATTCCTAAACATGGAGAAGAAGTAGGGCACACATTGTCGCACACATTCTCTCTTTAATACGAGGTGTTGACACATTTGGCCAGAGATGTCCTTTACTGGTCCCATTAGGCGCTTTCACACCGGAGTACTTTTCCCGTTTAGTTCCGATAGTTCCTGGGATTTTGCGTTCACACCAAAAAGACTTAGTTCATGAGAACTTTTACCCCCTTTTTAGTCCCTGCTAGAGAGGTGGGACTTTCCTGGGGAGAAAAAAGTCAAACCACGCCCCCGTAAAACTCAGAAAAGTTTTTTGAAGCCGCCATTGTATTTGTGGCATTAGCATTATTAGCATTAGCATTAGCCCCGCGCACCAACGCAGAGAGACTAACTTATGGCAACACAAAAGAAAACATGGGAGCGGTGGAGATGAGGAGGTGTCGGCGTTCTGGCGATTTACTCTGAAGGCTTCAGTAGAAGCTGCTGGGAGTCCCAGCAGCTTCTACTGAAGCCAGTCCCCAACTCCGGGGACTTCCGGCCGGGGACTTCGGTAGGCAGTATACGCCGTGAAGTGGTTTGCGGCCTGCCAGTAAACCCAAAGCAGAAGAAGAAGAAGTGACGTCAGCGGCTTCATTTGTCTAATCTTCCCTCAGGGAACTTATTCCGGTGTGAACGCGATCGGCTCCTTAGTTCCATGGGGGCACTAAGTGCTGGGAACTAAGTACGGCAAAGTACTTGGTGTGAAAGCGGCTATTGAATTCCTCAAAGAAAAAAAAGGGCAGCAAATCTCAACTAACTCTTATTTTTATTATTTTTATTGTATTATTATTTTCTTTGTATTTAAAGGTAGGGTAGGTAAGAATGGAGAAACCAGCTCGAGTGCGCTAGAATTTGAAAGTACGCAGCCGAAAAAAGTCTGCCCCTTCCTTCAGACTTCCTTACAGAGCCCCTCCTCCAACACACACGAACGCGCACATGACCAATGAGGGCACGAGATAAGTTTGTGCACAGATGGAAGGCTGACAGGCAGGTAGGCCATCCAGTTATTTTAGCCGGGCCGGCTCAGATGATTGGTCGTGCTTTTTACAGTACTACGGCTTCCACAGATGACATTTTTTTATGGATTTATTGTCAAAGCATTTAATGTATTCATTGCTATCGGGATGTTAAGAGCATTCCATGGAATATAACAAAAAGTGTTTCTGAAATAAATTACATACCCCACCTTTAATAATTTTTATATTCTTATTTTTTTTTAATTCTTATTCTTATTTAATTCACACATTTTATTCAGATTTCTAAGAGACTTTTTAGCAATCCCAAAGTCATGTGTTACTTGGTATTTATTACCAGGGAAGGGTAGCATGGTATTATCTTTATTTTTTGTTTGTGAAGCACTTTGCGTTACCTTTTGTGGAATAAAGTCGAACGTGATGGCAGTTGCTAAGCAACCCCTCTTTTATTTCTACCTCTCTTAGGAAACATTACCTTTTTTCTTTTTGATTATTCTAACAGATCTCAATCACTTCTGAGAGACTCGTTGTCCCTTCAGGTGATTTCACTGATGCATCAGAGTCGAGTGAAATTAGACTCAGAGGATATCATCTATTAGCAGGATGAGCAGCGGGTCGTGGGCTGGTAATAACAATTAGTGAGTTGAATAATGATGATACTAAAAGTCAAGCGTTAAGCCCAAATGAAACAAGAGAAGCTGCAGGAGAGGACGAAGCGGTTTGCTCACCTGGTTTGGGTTTGGGTTTGCGACCAGGTTTCCCTTTGATTTTCGGAGCGCTATCTTCAGGTTTTGTTCCCGCCTCTTTGCTCTCTTTGCTGCATTTACGGACTCTCCTCCGGGAGCAGCTGGACACCAGCAGGGCAGGGGACGGCTCGGCACCTGGAGGAAAACAGAAGATTTAAACATTTTACATTAAAGAGGATATATTCTGCTCATTTTCAGGTTCATATTAGTATGTAGTGTCTCTACTGGGACATGTCTCCATGCTTTAATTTTTCAAAAAGCTCTTTATTTCTCTCATACTGCCTGCAGCACCTCTTTTCACCCTCTGTCTGAAACCAGAGCCCAGCCTGCTCTGATTGGTTAGCTGGCTCTGTTGTGATTTGTCAACCGCTTAGAGATGTCCCGCCCCTTAGCCTATCATGTACAATGTGTTGGAGCCATGGATGTATAATAAGAACTGGATACAGCGTGGGAGGCGAGGCCTCGTTCATTCCTATGAGAGTTGCTCATTGGCGCGTGAAGACAAAATGGCCCAACTTTTGAGAGAGCGAAACATCACGAAAGTATTCATATAATCCGTTCTTATTGTGCATCCATGGGTAAAGGTAAAACTCATGTAGTACTGAACACGTCACATGAACGTGCCGGGCGGCACGGTCCCGTGGGTTAGATGCACGTTCATAATGCTGAGGAAAATAACTCTCAGAATAACGTTATTAGCACATTTTACAACTTGAGGACCGAATGTTTTTAATAAGGGCTATACAAATGTTCATACTGGGTCGTTTATTTAGTTTAAAAAAAATTATCCAACGATTTACAGACGTCTCTTTCCCAATGTTAGTCAATGGGAAAAAGTGTTTCCGGGCCCAGCGACTGATACGGAAGTGTAGTACCGCCGTTTGGCCACAACAAATACTTTCCTCAGAGTCCGACGCACTTCCTGGGGGCTTGGTTGGAGCGCTAGCCAATATAAGCATGAGTGTTACATAGTGGAGTAACTATTGTTAAAAGTAAACAAAGAAGTCCAATCTAAGCTTTCGGAAGTTTGGGACTTTAGCCTTTGAAGACTATTTACATAACCTATATAAACACACTTCAGGAAAGGGTAAACCTCAAAAAGCATGATAGGGCCCCTTTAACATTTCTCAAGCTTTCCCCATGACTGCAGCTACTCAGGCTTCTTAACAAGAAAAGCAGCACCTGAATATAGACGTGTTCTTGTCTGTTACCTGCAAACCTCTCAATTCTGAATGATCAGATTGTGACTTCTCTGTGCACTCCTTCGTTAAATGTTGGAAGCACCTTGCTGGCAAAAAGGAAAATATTTACACCAGCTTCTGCCAAAGTCAACAGTAGCACCCACAGAGAAATAAGACTGAAAAATCACAAGGTGTTTTGAGTACTAGATAAATATATTTTTTGTCAGCAAGGTGCTTCATGTTGTGGACATCATTTCCTCACTGTAGTTGATGTGGACAACCATTAAGGCTGAACCATGCTTAAGTGGACAACACACACACTTAGGAAGAGTGTTTAGGTAGACTATTTATAGTATACACACACACAGCAGTTTAAAGAGTAGCTGTGTACCGGAATAGCTTTAAGATAGCGGCACTGTACTGAGAAAACACTTCACCTAAAGCCAATCAACACACGAATAGCAACCATGCAAACAGATAGACGTGATAGTGTGTATGTGTGTGTGTGTGTGTGTGTGTGTGTGTGTGTGTGTGTGTGTGTGTGTGTGTGTGTGTGTGTGTGCACTCACAGTGGATCTTGTAGTCAGGCGGCAGCAGTCTGATGTGTGAGAGCGGGATGCGTCCTGTGTCTCCGTCGTCAAACTCCACCGTGATGAGATCATCCTTCTCGTCGATATCTGAACTTCCTGTTAAGGGTGAAAATAAAAAGATTAGATTTTGTGTGTGTGTGTGTGTGTGTGCGTGTGTGTGTGTGCGTGTGCGTGTGTGTGTGTGTGTGTGTGATGCTGGCTCTGTACCATTGACCACGGAGCCGGGGTACAGGCAGCGGTACTGCTGGCTCCAGTAGGCGGCGATGCGTGTTCCCTCAGGAAGGTAACGGACAGACGGAGGCTTCACATCGATGATCTGCACACAAAAATCATATACATTATTCCACAGGTCAAGCCTTTACACATGCATGTAACCAGTGGTGGAAAGTTACTACGTAGACATATAATAAATGACCATAATTAAGTACATTTTTGAGTATTTCCATTTTAAGCTACTTTATATATTTCTACTTCACTTTCATTTGGAGGCAAAAATATTTTTTTCTAGTACTCAAGTAAAAGATCTGAGTTATTTTTCACCACTGCATGCAATCCTTTTATTTTCCAAGTGTTTCACATTTCAGTTTTCACCAGAAACAGAGATGTGATTTGTGTTGACTCACAGCCTCCTGCAGCAGTTGTTCGAGGCAGTAGATGTGTGGTCGGTTCCCTCGCTCCCCCTCCACCACCACGCTGTATCTGCAGGGAGGAAATGTGGGAAAATGGACGGGTTAAACGTTTGGGAATCAGTGGGAAAGTTCACGTTTGTCTCTGCAGTGTACATGTGTATTTTCCAGGGAAAGCACTCAACCGGTATCTGGATTCTGACTGCTTTGTGGGGGGTGGGGGATGTGTTGTTTATAACTAACAAACACTGCAGTACTTTGTTAATACCTGAATCCCCCCTGGAATATTAATCCCGTCTGAACCGGGTTTAGTGGGTTTGTTTTCTTTTAATGAGGCCACTCATTAGATTTTAATGTTTGTCATAAAATGTATATGCCGGTTTGTGCAGTTTTACAGGAATAGTTTGACATTGTTTGGGATAACATGCCTATGTTTTAATGCCCAGAGTTAGATGAGAATAGTAACACATACGACTGTATGGTTAATATGAAGCAACCCGCAGCTGGTTAGCCTAGCTTAGCACAACGACTGGAAAAAAGCTAGGTAATGGCCTAGCTTAAAATGTCTTGTTTTGACAGCGCAAAACATATTGACATAAAACAGAGAAAGGCAGTACAACTCCATATTTGAGAGGCTGAAAGCTTTCTTTCTGACATGAAAAATTACTTCAGTGAATAATTGCTTATCAAAAAATGTGATTAGTAGTCAGCTAATCGTTTCAGCTTTATTTTAGCATTCAATCAATCATCAAAGCTTTTTAACTGTGGTTTGCACCTGCAAACCACAGTTTACTTTTATTCTCTGGTGGCTTTCCAAGCGTGCGTGCAGCTAAATCAGGTACTACTAAAATCAAGGACACCAAACTTCAGCTGGAACCAAAATTGGAGCACACTGATTGATTTGCTGCTTTTAATAGTGCCACCAGATGTGTGTGTCCACTATTAAAGGCTGCACATCAATCCCTGTGCTCCACTGTGTCTTTTAGTTTTACCCTCTGAGGTTGAGATGTGTACTCACATGTCGGGGGAGTGTACAGTGTTCACGTGTCCCGCGTACAGGAGCTGGTCGTCCATCGGGATCAAAACTTTGAGTCCGTCCACCAGCGAGTCCTTATCCAACACACACTGCACCGGAGCTGAAACCAACAGAACCATGCGGTATATAAACATATTGTACAAGAAAACTGGATTCTGATTGGTCGATTTGGACATTTAGCGGTCTGTTATTTCTAAAAAATCTCAAAATCTGCTACGGCTGTTCTGACTAAGGGACTATGTGCAGTCATATCAATCTGCAGAAAGAAGTTGGGTCACTTTAACATCAGCAGTGGCCAAAAAAACACCACTAGTTTCTGTAAGTCTGTCAAATAACTGTGTTTATAATATTTATTTTCATATTTGAGAAGAGCACAAAACACTAGACAAAGGAAACGAGGACAAGTAAACAGAACAAGAGAAGGAAAGAGGATAAAACACAGAGAGCTGAACACGAGAGAAATCAGCAGATGAAGACAGACAGGAAGTAAATACTAACAGGAACACAGTATTCCCTCATTTTAAGTTACACTACTGTCTCCGTGCACAGCCGTTGTTCAGCCATTGCAGTAGAACTGACTATTGTTTGTTGGCTGAAGCTGTCAATATCTATTATTCCTTGTCTTCTTGTGTGTGTACTGACCCGGTGTGGAGACCCTCTCCGACACGCTGTTGCTTCGCGGTGTGACCAATTCGTCTTCGCTGAAGCTGCTGTCTTGGTTCGGCTCGAAGTCTTCGTCCGCCGCCATGCTCTCCATCAGCCGGCTCACCGCCCCTCTGGAAGGCTGCAGAGAAACACAAACAATTTAATTTCCCAGCTCTATAGACCCAATAAATCACCAATAAGTCAAATCTGTCTTAGAAAATATTACATTTTAAACTTTTCTTTTGGAAGGGGCTCCTGTATTCCATTTCCGCCTTTAATTAATGTGTGTTAAAGTGTATATATTCAAAATATGGTCAAAGGTATTGATGAAGTACTGGGTTTATTATATACAATGTCTATCTGGAAACATCTCGTACAAGTTTAGTGATATTTTGATATACGTTCCCCTTAGGAGAGATCTACATTTTCACCATTTTTACTTAGGACCCAAACAAAACAACTCATTTTGCAGTAAAATATTCTAATACAAGCTATATTTTTTAAACTAGACATCTTAGACTAATGATAAAACATGGATGTGCTTTGCTCCATTGAAAAACTGAAGCCTTTTTTTTTTATTTGTTCCTCTACTACTGCTATTTAAAGTTAATTTATTGCCGCTCTCCAAACCACCAGACACACCGCAAACTTTCCAAAGATAAAACGGCAACATATTACAACGCTTATGCTGTTTTATACACAATCGTCTTTATCTGATGTTCTGCCACCACAAAGAGCTCTGCACACACACTCCGGCTGCCTGTAGTGTTTCCAAAACAAGCTGCAGTGTGTGTCTGGTGGCAGATGGAGCGCAGAAATCACACTCTGAGAGAGGTTCACTTCTTCTCTCACCAACAGATCAGTGTTAATTGCAGCAGCAGATATCAACCTCCACACGTATTGTCACTCTGTGTGTGTGTGTGTGTGTGTGTGTGTGTGTGTGTGTGTGTGTGTGTGTGTGTGTGTGTGTGTGTGTGCCGACACATAGAAGGTAAAATGGATGTGTGCACATTTAGGGATCATCACTTAAATGTTCCAATTTTGTTCTTGCCAAGATAATTAGCCCTTGTGCCTCATTGGGGACATTTTTTTATTTTTCAATCAATTGGGCTGTTAATGCATTTGGCACGGGATGTTTCCTTTTTAATACAATTTTGAACTCAGCTTGTATAATAGGTCTAAACAAGTACAATGACGATGTTAATCCCCTGGCTATTAAAGCATACAGTCATGCATTCTATACAAGACTTTAGATCTGGATCCTTGTCTTCAAATGTGTTTTTATTATTATATGGATACAAAGCAAGAGAGTGTGTGTGTCGTTTTTTGTTGCAGTTATTGTTAGACGTAATAAAGCCTAACAGAAAGGCAAAAGGGTTAGGTTCACATCCTTGATGACACAGCAGCTTCTCACTGACCTCTCTGGGTTTGGGTCTGGCTTTGGATTGGCTCTTGCGTTGCGGGCTGAGGCTCAGAGGAGGAAGAGGAGGAGGAAGAGGAGGAGGAGGAGGAGGAGGAGGAGGAAGAGGGTCCGAGAGGCTGCAGAGGGGAGCCGGACTCACCGGAGACTCCTTCAGCTTCTTCTTCTGCTGAAAGCATGCATATGTATCACTGCACTGAGGATGCACTGGACAGATTCACATCTTCGCACACACACTCTCTCTCTCTCTCTCACACACACACACACACACACACACACACACACACACACACACACACACACACACACACACACACACACACACACACACACACACACACACACAACACACACACACACACACACCACACACACACACACACACACACACACACACACACACACACACACACACACACACACACACACACACACACACACACACACACACACACACCACACACACACACACACACACACACACACACACACACACACACACACACACACACAGCCTGCAGTTGTCCTTTCTTGTCAGCGACACGACACAGGCAGCAGGGGAGTGCTGCAGTGACTGAAGGACTGGGAAACCCTGCTGGCACGCTGGCACTCAGGCACACACACACACACACACACACACTTAAACACACACACTTAAACACTCTCACACACAGAGGTGTCAGAGGGGGAACCAGTGTTGAGGGAGGAGGAGAGGAGTGATACAGTAACAGAGAATACAAGTGACTGTGACCTTTAAGAAACAAAGATATCCATATTAAAAAAACTATTCAAATGATATATTATATGTCTTATAAAAGAAAAATGTATCGCCATAGCAGTTTAAAAAAAAAAAGAATGACTGTAAGGAGATAGTTTTGTGTTTTAAGCAAACTTCATGAATGGACAAACTAAATTAATAAATAAAAAGTGAAAATGTAAATATAATTGACGTACTTTGATCAGGTCTTTCCCCTCTCTGCTGGGCGGGGAGGGTTTGGGTCTGGGGGGGGGCGGGGGGCTTCGGTGTGAGAGGCGGGGCCGAGCTGGGGGAAGAGGAGGAGCAGCTCTGACTGGTGGAAGCTGACACCAACGCTGGCATCTGATTGGTTGTCGTGGTGGCGTCGTGGAGGAAGATCCTCTCGCTGCGGCGCCTCGTCCAACCCTCGTCTTCGCTGAAGCCCGCGAACCCCGAGGAGCCCGAGGGGTGGTCGAAGCTGAATTGCTGTGGCGACTGGAGCGTGGGGCGGGGCTTAGGCAGAGGCTTTCGTTTGATTGGCAGAAGAGAGTCGTCTCGCTTCGAGGGGCTACTCTGGTCGATGCGGCGCGTTACCGGGGGCAACAGGGGGAGCTCGGGGGCGGAGCGTTTCCCGTGAAGAAGAGACGGAAACTTCCTCAGACGAAGATCAGAGCCCGAGTCTGACCACTCACACTCTGAAGACCCTGGGGGGGGGGGAGAGGGTCACATGGTGTAAAAACTACAAACACACGAGGGTAATTAATTACATTTACTCAAGTTAAGTAATTACTACATTACATTTCATTTAACTGATTATTTGATTCAATGGGACTTACAATATGTTCAATCAACCATGAAAATACCAACTTAAGAGGGCTAGAGTCATGCAGGTATACTAGCTTCATGTGGACGATGAGATTGACCAAGGTGCAGTCGAAACAGGTGGCGATTACATTTTTGGCAAACTTTAATACTTGACTAAAGTATTTACATTTTATGCTATTTTATACTTCTACTTGCCTTTATTTTGGCGGAAAAATATTGTATGTTTTTCCAAATACACCCAGTGTTTAAACATAACTTTTGATAACGTTTGTTTCCTCTAGTGTGTTATATAGGTTTCAGTGCATGTAAATGGTTTGCAAAAGCTAAAATCCCTGTGTGATTATATGCATTAATTTACCCTTAAAACACTCTGTTTTAAATGAGATCTTAAATTGGCTGAGAACATGTCTTTTTTTGTAATAAATACAGAATACATGTTTTGTATTAAGATATAGTAATAATTTAAAGGGGACCTATCATGCAAAATGCACTTTTTGATGTCTTTTCTACATAAATATGTGTCCCCGGTGTGTCAGGGAACTCACGCAGCGTCAGAAAATAAAACCCTCTCTCTTTTCCTCCGTACCCAAATCTCTAAAAACGGGGGAACAACGGAGCTGATCCAGATTTGCGTCCGATATGACGTAATATCTGAAATGTGGACCCACGGCCCTATCAGAAACGTTGCTATCAGAAACAATGCCCGACTGTTTTGGACGTAATATGGTCAGTGTTTACATTAGCATCGCTAACACTCAGAGCTAACCTGTACTGGAGAGCATGTGTGTGAAGAAGCAGGAAATAAAAAGGAACTCACCTTGTGGTATAACCGGCAAGAGAGAAAGCCTTTGAGCTCCATACTGTTTCAGAAATAATCCTTGATAATCCATGATATGGCGTTTCATCACGGCAGTATTTAGTTTAGACAGTAGCTGCCGGGTCCCGCATGAGCTCAGCCCCCTCCTTTTTTATTTTATCAATTTTTTATTTTTTAAAGCACTTTTGAAACAGGAAGTGAAATAGAGGGATATGAGGCATGGCTAGAATGGGTGATCTGTTTGGTATTTTGAGCAAAACACTTCATAGACATGTTTTTTTATATATTTTTATATATCTGAGACCTATGCTATTGCCTAAAAATAGCATGATAGATGACCTTTAATATATTTGTATTGTGCATATTGAGTACATTTAGCTGATCATACTTTTGTATTTCTACTTAAATAACATTTTGATTTAGGTTTTTTACTTTTTAATTAAGTCTTTTAGGACCAATGTAATTTCACTTTTTCTAAATTAAAGGATTATTTCTGTCATCTCTGCGACATATAATACACTCACAGAAAATAAACTTGCAGGCAGTAATAAACCCAAGTTTCATATTCGCTGAAATCAATAACCCTGTAAATAGGACTATTGATCAATTTGAAACTCATACATAATTTAAAAGTGAATCATTACGTTCACCCTGCTGAGACAATTAGGCATAAATTAATATTTAACCAGGAATCAATAAAAGAATCCTGAACAAACGCTCGATGGACCTGCTCAACCGCAAATAAGAAAAACTCAATTACAGCACGTGAAGCTGTCGGGGGAGTGTGTGAAATGAGTAAAAGCAGAAGAGTGTGTGAGCAAAGAAAATACTTCTACGAATGTTGGTTAAATATAATAATGAAACTTGTGTTTTTCTTCAGTTTGCATTGTTTTTGCTTCTTTCCACAAGAAATATTATCAATATGATTTGGTTTATTTGCACAGATACACATGACCCATTTGTACATGTTGTGTTTTTCCCAGATTAAATATATCAGGCTTTTAATCTCAGGCCAACATTTTTGTCTGTTTTTCTATTTGTTAACCAGACTTTACGGCTTTTTCTCAATGTTATTTCTAATCATCATATCATCCTAGACTAGGGAGAGTATGCAAAGACAGACTTAAATATAAAAATGATCATTGTTTTTTCCACAAAAACCTTATTCATATTAGTTTAGTTAATTTGCACAGAAATACCCTTTATATTTACTTTATACAAAATAAAAAGTTGTATTGCTTTTAAAGGTCACCTATTATGCAAAGTCCACCTTTTCATGTATTTTCTACATCAACATGTGTCCCCTCTTCTTCATGTCTCTTCTACATCAACATGTGTCCCCTCTTCTTCATGTCTCTTCTACATCAACATGTGTCCCCTCTTCTTCATGTCTCTTCTACATCAACATGTGTCCCCTCTTCTTCATGTCTCTTCTACATCAACATGTGTCCCCTCTTCTTCATGTCTCTTCTTCATCAACATGTGTCCCCTCTTCTTCATGTCTCTTCTACATCAACATGTGTCCCCTCTTCTTCATGTCTCTTCTACATCAACATGTGTCCCCTCTTCTTCATGTCTCTTCTACATCAACATGTGTCCCCTCTGTGTAAAGAGACTCTGAAAGTTTCAGGAACAAAGATTCTCTCTCTTTTTCTCCTGATCCATTTATATAAAAACCTGTCTGAAAATGAGCTGATCAGATTTTGGCCACTTTATGATGTCATAACGATTTTTTGGCTTGTGTAACCATTAGCCAATCACCAACCAAGGTAACCCCCCCCCCCCCCCCCCACCTTATCACCTGAATCTCCTCCTAGAGCACCATGGTGTTCTTTTTAACCAAATATCTCTCAGAGGGGCGTGGGGAGGGGCTCATTATTTTCATCTAAAGTAACAGACGGAGAATCAGCTCTTTTGAAACAGGGCTGAAACAGAGGGGATTATGGGTAATGCTGCAATGATCTGTTTGGTGTTTGGAGCCAAACACTTCAGAGACAGGTTCTGTATATATCTGAGACCTATAATATATTGATGAAAAACAGTATAATAGGGGACCTTTAAAATATTCAGCTTATTTTGAACTAATGCACCAGTTTGTATCTTCATGGTGTATTGCACTTTTTCTAAGTCCCTTTGGATAGACGCTAAATGAATGTAATGTCATATACACAACGCTTTTGTATCTGCTGTGTTTTTACCCAGAGTGCTTTGCCTGCTGCGGTGTTTGCCGTCGTGCAGGAGGCTCGGAGGCGTGGGAGGGACGGGTGTTGCGCTCGCTGCGAACCGGGCCAGCAGACCGAGCCCGCTCAAATCCTCCGAGTCCGACACATCCTCGTAGTCCTCTTCGTCCTCCGAGGATTCTGTTTCAGAGAAAAGACTGTTAGCTTTTCAGGGATGAACGTGTCTGCAGCAGCACGGGGGTCAAAGGTCAAATCACTTCCTACTGACACAAAGCCTGCACCACTGAGGAGATGAAATAACGGAAGAGAAATGATCGACCTATATCCCTTCTAAAGTAAATAAAAAGACTGATTTAAGCCCCGTGTAGAAGGACACACACACTCTCACACACTAATCAAAGAAAATAGTGAAGAGAAAGGATAACGACTGTCCAATCCACCGCCTGCATTCACCACGTAATGCTGTGTAAGCAAGGCACAGAAACGCTCATTTACCACATACATGCATTAGCCACGCTCACACACACAGCTGCTGAGACCCTGTGAGCTGACTCAGGTCTCATTTATTATTTAAACGAAAGCCCTCAGAGAAAGTGACAGAGAGAAAAGCTGCTTCCTTCGTCCTTTTATGTCTAACAGGCCAGAAGAGCACACAAAAAGGCAGAGGCACACACACAGACAACACACACATTTATATGCATTTATACACTGAAGCACTGGTTAGCTGTTGCAGGAGTTAGCAGTTAGCTCGATGGCAGGAGGAGGAGCGTCTCCTCAGGGGTTAAAGGGTGTTCACATTGTGGGTGGATGCACAGTACAACAACATATGTTTTATTTATTATATTAAAGCATATAATTGCTTTCATAGGATTAGCAATATCGGGTGTTTACAAAGGTTTTTAATAAAAGGTTACACCAGGTAGAGTCCGTGTTTTGCTGCCCTCTCTGGTGAGAAGTTAGCGAAGTGTACAGAAGTAAGTAGTGATATCTGTGAGTCTTCGCTCCAAAAATTACATTCCCATATATTGGATCTAAATTGTAAAATATTGATTTTAGAAGAAGGTATTTTATCCCGAATTAAAAAAAGTAAAAAAAAGGTAAAACACAGGAATTTATTTGTGTCCCGTTTGAAACCAAAATCTATTTTGTATGCAATTCTGTGTGCAGCTCAAGTTATGTAACAAATGTACTTATTTTAAGTCAAATCATAGATTTTTACCGACTTTATACATGTTTTTCTTGGCTTTTTGTTTTGTTTCAACACATTATGTTAACCATGTGTATAAAACTGCAAAACAAATACATACATTTCTCTCTAAAAACTAGTTGTTTAATTATACGTGAATGTAATATTAAGGAGACAGGGTTGCACTACAAGGCGAGAAGGTTAACCAATGGAGGTTAGCAAAAAATAAAGTGTCCTCTTTAACCAAAACAATACTTATTTAGTTAAGTAAATCAATGGTTTCATTTGTTGATGTTCCAGACCAGAATATAATAAATATTTAAAGGTGGGGTAGGTAATTTTGGAGAAACCAGCTCGAGTGCGCTACAATTTGAAAATACAGTCGGAAAAAATCTGCCACTTCCTTATAGAGCCCCTCCTCCAACACACACGAACGCACACATGACCAATGAGGGCACGAGATAAGTTTGTGCACAGATGGAAGGCTGACGGGCAGGTAGGCCGGCTAAAATGATTGGTCGTACTTTTTACAGTACTAAGGCTTCCACAGACGAAACATTTTTATGGATTTTTTGTCAAAGCACTTCAGATATTCATTGCTATCGGGATGTTAAGAGCATTCCATGGAATATAACAAAAAGTGTATCTCGAGCCGGTTTCTCAAACTTACCTACCCCACCTTTAAATAAAATAATTTCAAACTGTCAAGTCAAACTTCGGAGCTACATCTGAAGCGTTTGTTGTACTGTGGATCCACGATGTGTTAACAGAAGCAGACAGACAAAACAAAGCAGGCAGGCACTGAGAGGACAGCCCTGTGAGGCCCCTTGGTATGATGATGTAGTTTACGAGTTACCATGGTTACATCCTCTTTTACGTCTTCCCGTAAACTTTTACATAAGAAGACAAACCGTTGGTAAAGTGGAAGTAACCATGGCTCCCATTAAAAAAAGAGCTTTAATTTATGAGAACAAAAAATTAATTTAATTTCAGCGTGGTCCATGTTAGCGGTTGATGAGGAATAGAGGGAGGGGACCGTCCTACTTACAGAGCAGGTGACAGGGGTGTGGCCTCAGGCAGGGGCGGGGCAGCGGCCAGAGCGCAGCCTAGCCGTAGCTTAGCCTAGCATTAGCTTTAGCCGCAGCGAGGTAGCATAGGCTCACGGCTGCGCTAGTCCTTGCCAAGCTTCTGTAATGTCGCATCAGCACAAAGCACATGGAAACAGGCGGAGAGACACGCAAAGCATCATGGGTAAGGAAGGGGGGAGGGACAGGTGAGAGGACAGAGCAAGGGGTCGGAGAGAGCAACGTAAAGGGAGAAGGGTTATTTGAAGGTTTAGTAGACAGAGGAGGGGCTCTATTATCCAAATATCCCCAGCGTGTTATTTGATTGGTGCTGTCAAGAAGTTTAGAATGAGTAGATTTTATTTCCCACACAACATTAAGAAAATAGACCACATTGTTAATAAAAAAAACACTTAATCTGATGTAAATTTACCTGAAAAATCCACAAAAATTATTTGAAGAATCTATAAATTTAGTTAAAAAAAAAACTCCACAACAAAATTGTTTAAAATTCCATTAATTTACGTTAAAAATCCACAAAAATGTACCTTAAAAAAAATATATCTTTTTATTTTTTGACCATGTAAACTGACCAGGAAATAAATACCCATCCCATCAGATTCAGCTGCTGTGAAATAAGTCTTCTACATTTTTTATTTTTTGGTTTCCAGGACTGAAGGGATATTTGAGGAAGAGAGCAGTGTACAGGATGTGAGCTGCACACTGACGGAGACAGACAGACAGATGAAGCAGACACAAGGACCACAGCGCTTCGCTTTCTGTGCCAATCAGATCAACACCTTTAATAAAGCTTATAGGTACCAAAACTGCAATACAACTTTATCTCACAATTCACACACTTTTTCAATATACAAAATGCTACAAAAAACTGGTTTTGCAATCCAGGCAATATAAAAAAACAACAAAAACAACACCATAGAAATACTCTTTAAAAAAACAAAAGGCAACAGCAGCAAGAGAGGTAGAGATGGTCGAGCTAAAGCACAGTCGAGACGCGAACAGAGACACAAGCTGCGTTTCTGCTAAGATTGGCTCAGTAACCTTGGTCGAAGGAGTCGTCGGAGGAGCTGAGGCCGGCCTCCTCCAGCAGCAGAGATAAGTGCTTGTGTTTCTTCTTCTGGGATTTCAGGCCGGATGGTGGCGGTGACGTCGGCCTCTTCCTGGTCGGGTTTTCGTGGGAGCGCATCCCTGAGAGAGAGGGCCAGCCCCCTCGAGCAGAAGAAGTGAGATCCTCTGAGTCTGAGTCTGGTGCAGAGAGAGGACGGTTAATGAATCATGCAAACACACCTCGACACCATCAGGACTGGGTTCTATTATGGTCAATTATTCAGGGGTTAAACAGCTTTTTAAGAGCAAAACTCTAAAACCAATAATGTCCAGATTCTCAAAGCCTTACGTTAAATGAAATTGCGAAAGATTTACTTTACAGAAATCCTAAAGCAGTCGATTTATATTGTATAACGTGTGTTATTTTACCAGCTGTTCCTATTAACTACAGTTCGCTCGACATCCGCTTTGAGACGCAAGAAACACCCACAAATTAATCTAAAAGGCGGGACTGTGTAATTTAAAATATTTAAGACTGTTTACATAAGTGATTATGTAGATCAAACAGCAGATTATGTTGAAAATCCAACATTTTCCAACAACCATTAACCGTATCTCTGCCAGCATTGGTCTTAAGCAGTTATTTCAGATCTCTGTTCTCCAGGTACTCACTGTTGGAGCAGCTGCTGAGCTCTGATCTCACGTGAGAGAACAAAGTCGTCGTCGTCTTCTTCTGACCTTTCACTTTCAGGGCGCTGTCCGAAGTGGAAACCTTGGTGGCCATCTTGTGTTTCCCAGCCTTAGCGGACGGGTGGATGCTGCGCTCCTTCATCCGACTTTCCCCAGACTTGACCTTCGACTTGTCCGATTTGGAGCTGAGTTTATGAGAAGCTGCGAGTGATCCGAGCTGCGAGAGCGACAGAGCTCTGTCCAGATCTGAGGCCAGCTGCTCCTGCTCACACACGTGGCCACGCTTTGACTTCAACACCTGACAAATAACACAAAAACACACTTAGTAAATTAAATCTGAAACATGAAGCAACACTGCGGACAAAAATAAAACACACTGTGAGGTCAAAAGTCAATATAAAAGATAGAAACAACTATAATAATAATTTTTAATGTATTATTATTTTCGACTTTTTAATACAAGAAATATGAGTTAAAAAAAATAATGTAGTAATGTATTTAATAATGTTCTTTTTAAAAGGGCTGTCTTAAATACATTTAGAGATTTGAAATGTGATAACTGATATTTCAGAAATTTTTAATGGGTTATTTCTTTGACAAATTAAATTACATGAAAATGTTAATAATGGCTGTGGCTGTCACATTTTTATTTTGTGTTATTTTCAAAGATTTTCTCCCAGAAAATCAACAAATTGACCCGTCTGCAAAAGTCAAAAACGTTCTATAAGACTTAAAGGTAAGGTAGGTAAGAATGGAGAAACCAGCTCGAGTGCGCTAGAATTTGAAAGTACGCAGCCGAAAAAAATGTGCCCCTTCCTTCAGACTTCCTTACAGAGCCCCTCCTCCAACACACACGAACGCGCACATGACCTATGAGGGCACGAGATAAGTTTGTGCACAGATGGAAGGCTGACAGGCAGGTAGGCCATCCAGTTATTTTAGCCGGGCCGGCTCAGATGATTGGTCGTGCTTTTTACAGCGCCACGGCTTCCACAGATGATATTTTTTTATGTATTTATTGTCAAAGCACTTCAGATATTCATTGCTATCGGGATGTTAAGAGCATTCTAGGGCTGTGCGATTATGGCAAAAATCATAATCACGATTATTTTGGTCAATAATTGATATCACGATTATTAAAAACGATTATCCATTTACTTTGAAAACATCCATATATTAAAAAAAAACATTTGAACAGTATGTTTTTAACAGTTGATTACCCTGAACTTTAAGTATAATTCAACAGAAAAAAAAAAAAAAAAAAAAAAAAATTACATTTATTTATTTTTTAATAAAAATAATAATCGTTTTATTTCGATTACATTGTTTTCGTAATCGTTGCAAGCCAAAATCGTAATCGAGATTAAAATACGATTAATTGCACAGCCCTAGAGCATTCCATGGAATATAACAAAAAGTGTTTCTGAAGTGAATTACCTACCCCACCTTTAAGTAAAGACAAGTTAAAAGTAATTGAGTTATGCGATTATTCCTCTGTTGTCATGCAGACTTTCATATTTCAGGATAACATTGAGCGAAATCCTAAAAAAGAACTCGGCAGCGTCTTACCTCCAGAGCGTGACTGGTGGACGGCTCCTGGTCGTTCCAGCTCTTCTTCTTCTTTTTCTTCTTCTTCTTCATCTTCACTCCTCCAATCGCCGCCTCCGCCTCCTCTTCTTCTTCTCTGGAAACCCTGAACCTTTTCCTCTGTCCCTCCCCGGCTTCAGAGTCCTCGGAGTATTGCACTGTCCTACCCACCCTGAAACACCCAGAGAGTTGTTTTTACAGGGAAACAACAAACAGACAGAAAAACAAACATGCAAATAAAGATGGAGGTGTGACTCACTTTCCAGGCCTGCTGTCCAGTTTGGTCGGTGTCGTTAAATGTTTCCTCTTACGGGGTCGCCCTCTGCCCCGTCGGGTCAGACTCCGCCTCTCGTCCTCGTGCTGCTGCCGCTCACTGAAACAGGCATTAAAGAGGATATAAGTGTGTGTGTTTGTCTGGGGTGTAGAACTTAAGTGTGTGAGTATCAATATAACTGCAAATGTAGATCCCTAAAATGTCAGAAATTGATTCAGCATCCTCAAAACCACTCCAAAGTTGTCCAAATCGGCAAAAGCCTTTTCTTAAAACCATTGTCTGCATAGGCTATATCGCTAATTAATGCAAATGAACACAACTTATGCTAAATGTGTAAATTGCCCAACATGTGCAAGTTAGCATCCGGCAGTTTCTAATTTGCTGGGGACCCCTACTTAACATTTCTAACATAACACTTTGGTGTACTGTATTAGAAATGTTAAAATTAGATAGACAGAAATGTCCTTTTATTGTGTTTTGCTTATTCAAGTGTATTAAACATGATAGAGTCCTTCTTTCCCACATAACACAATGATATGTTTTAATTTACAACTTACTGTTCAACTGTTACATTTTAGCTAACTGTTTCCACTGTTACTTTTAGCTAACCGTTTCAACTGTTACTTTTAGCTAACTGTTTCAACTGTTACTTTTAGCTAACTGTTTCAACTGTTACTTTTAGCTAACTGTTTCAACTGTTACTTTTAGCTAACCGTTTCAACTGTTACTTTTAGCTAACCGTTTCAACTGTTACTTTTAGCTAACCGTTTCCACTGTTACTTTTAGCTAATTGTTTCAACTGTTACTTTTAGCTAACCGTTTCAACTGTTACTTTTAGCTAACCGTTTCCACTGTTACTTTTAGCTAACCGTTTCCACTGTTACTTTTAGCTAACCGTTTCAACTGTTACTTTTAGCTAATTGTTTCAACTGTTACTTTTAGCTAACCGTTTCCACTGTTACTTTTAGCTAACCGTTTCCACTGTTACTTTTAGCTAACCGTTTCAACTGTTACTTTTAGCTAACCGTTTCAACTGTTACTTTTAGCTAACTGTTTCAACTGTTACTTTTAGCTAACCGTTTCAACTGTTACTTTTAGCTAACCGTTTCAACTGTTACTTTTAGCTAACCGTTTCCACTGTTACTTTTAGCTAACCGTTTCAACTGTTACTTTTAGCTAATTGTTTCAACTGTTACTTTTAGCTAACCGTTTCAACTGTTACTTTTAGCTAACCGTTTCAACTGTTACTTTTAGCTAACTGTTTCAACTGTTACTTTTAGCTAACTGTTTCAACTGTCAACTTTTAGCTAACTGTTTCAACTGTCAACTTTTAGCTAACTGTTTCAACTGTCAACTTTTAGCTAACTGTTTCAACTGTTAACTTTTAGCTAACTGTTTAACTGTCAACTAACTGTTTCAATTGTCAACTTTTAGCTAACGGTTTCAACTGTTACTTTTTAGTTACTTTTAGCAAAAAAATATTAATAATTGTATTATTATAATGATAACTGCATTACACTGTAAATAACCTTCTCAACTGTTACTTTTAGCTAACCGTTTCAACTGTCAACTTTTAGCTAACTGTTTCAACTGTTACTTTTAGCTAACCGTCTCAACTGTCAACTTTAACTAACTGTTTCAACTGTCAACTTTTCGCTAACCGTTTCAACTGTCAACTGTTTCATAACACAATAATATGTTTTAATTTACAACTTACTGTGTGGCTCTGTATTATCAGATAGACAATTTCTGGATCTTTATTTATGAGATATTTCCATCTGAGTACTCGACATGTCTGCGTTCACAATAGGAAAATAGACTAGAATAGAATAGAAAATAGACTAATAGCAGCAGTGTGGAATTAATTCATCTTGTGTGTGTTTTTGCGTTAGCTCACCGTTTGTCTCTGCGTCTCTGCAGCTTGGTCAGATCTCTCTGCTTCTCCTTGTAAGTCTTCTGCAGCTCGGCCAGGTGAACGCGATATTCCACCTCCACGGCATCCAACACGTCCACAGACATTTTACTGTACAGCTGCACAGAGGAGAGAAAATGTGTCAGTACATGTTATACTTTATTCCATCTCTGGGCGTCCCAAGTCATTTTTTATTCATCTCACCGGCTCCTTCCTCTGCCTCCAGCTGTACTTCTTGTTGGGGTCCAGCGTTCTGGGCAGGTCGATGTGCGACTGCTTCTCGATCGCCTCCAACAGAATCTGCCTGCTCGCTTCAAGAAGACCGTCCAGACCCTCTAATGTCAGATCTGAATGGGACGCAGAGGATAATAAAACATTAGAGAATATAACAGAGTTCAAAAGACTATTAGAAAGGGCTGCATAACTAATTAAATGAGATGAGAGAAATATCCACATTGCAGTATCTGTAATGATCAGGAATCTGTGAAAATATTTGGATGAAGTATTGTGGTACACTTAAAAAGTCTTGCTGGTACAGATCCTCAAATGTTTAACACAATCCAATATCGCAAATCATATCGCATTTGCAAAACCAGTTAAAAAAAAAACAATGGTCAATCCTATAATATAGATATTGAGATAATAAAACATTAGAGAATATAGAATAGGGTGTCGTATTGTCATACTGATATTCTGTACAAACTGTGAAGTCCACTGAGACAAATGTAACATTTGTGATATTGGGCTATATAAATAAACATTGATTGATTGATTGATATTGCATCCGAAATATTGTGATATTTGATTTTCTCCATAAAGCCTGGTCCCAGTTTCCTTCATATGTCCTCACCTTGCTCCATGCTGATTTGCTCCATCTCCCTCTGAGCCATTTGGCTGAGCAGGGCCATCCCCTCCAGCGCCACCATCTCCAGAGCACCGGCACCGCTGCAATCCACACCCAACGAGTGGATTTCTATCTGCGGTAAGAGTGTTGGAGCGGGTGGAGTTGTTGGTCGAGCCTGGGCTATTTCACTGGCTGCCAGCAGGGCGAACATCCCCGCCATGGGATCCTCAGGGCCGATGATCAGCGGGAGCGGCGAGTTGGAAGCGGACGGATGATAAACGGGAGTTTCAGTGACACTTTCTTTCTGACTGGGAGTGTGTGAGTTGATGGGAGTGTGTGGCTGTTCTTGTTCACACACTGCGCTGGTTATATGTTGTAACTCCTCGTTGTCTGAATCTGCAGCGACGCATGATGGATAATGTTCTGGATCCTTCATGACATCTGGTTTGGGCTCAGACTCAGGAGGCAGGGCATATGTGGCCTGACAAGAATAAGACGACACCTCCATTTTGATTTGCCCTCCTTCCTTGTCTTCCTCCCTTATTCCTTGCAGTCTTTCCCTTTGTAGCGATGGAGGGCTCGGGACACGAGGAGTTAGCGTCTGAAGCTTCTGTGTTTCCCGGGCTTCCTCTCTGGAGGGAACAGGGCTGCAGCTTCGATGAAGAGCACCCAGAGGTTCGGGCCTCGTGTCGAGCGGAGGTTGCTCCACGCCTGGTTCCTGCTTCAGGAAAGATCCGGTCTGTTTTGGGGGCTTAATGTCTGTGTCCTGCAGCCTCGGATGGAGGTGGGCTGAGGGCAAAGGGGCAGCAGAGGAAGGAGATCGGGAGCGGTGAGGTGGGACGACTTCTGTGTTTGCCCCTGAGGGTGCTGGGATGTGATAAGGGGGGAAAGGTGAGCCAAATGGGGCGGTGATGGACTGGTAAGGGTAACCTGGAGGGAGATCTGTAACAGTAAAGCAGAAATACAGAAATTAGAATTACCAATTTTATGCACAGGTCTCTCGACAGGTATTGTAGTGGCTTAAAAGTTTCTAGAGCAGCCACTTCCAACCTACAGGGGTGTGATTTCAAAGTGGTTGAACTGGTTTACCTTCCCCCGTGTAAAACCAACCCCTTCCCCATAAACAGACATACTATAGCAAATAGGAGACAAAGGAGTGTCAACAAATATATTTGGGGGCGTAAACAACTAAGGTGAGTAGGTAAATATTCAACAAATAATATCTGTAGGCCATGTATACTAATAAAACAAGACATGTTAAACAATAAAAATAAAAAATAAACTTATATAATAAACTCAGTTAAATGGCTCCTACAGGTATGTTCAGTTGTTAGCTTCCTCCACACTCACCAGAGAAGACGCCTTGAAAGGAAGCAGAGGCCGGCTTCTGTCCCTCTCTCTGAACCCTCCGTCCCACCTCCCCCTCCTCCAGTTTAGGCCGCCGTGGGGAGGACGGGGGAGGAGAGGCTGATCGTGGGGAAGGCGGGTGAGGAAGGGGCGTCGGCGGATGGGACAAAACTCTATGCCCGCCTTCCTCTGACTTCAGGGCAGTCACTGGCGAGGGGAGCGGAGGCAGCGGAGTGAGAGAGGAGGTGGACGGGGTGGGCGAGCGAGAGTGAGGAGGAAGTTTGCGGGGATGCAGGATGGGTGAGGGAGACGGGGAAGATATGGAGGAACGCCGGGGTTTGGGGTCGGAGTGACGTTTGTCTGCTTTGTCTTCCATCTCCGGCCGGTGCTCGCTAGCCTTAAATCGCTCCTGAAACACAGGGGATGTCACAACCTTATTAATATCAGTGTTTGTTTACATTGCTTACACTTCCCGGAGTGTGTGTTTTTTTGCAACTGCAGTTCATGAGTGCTCTTATTGAATGTAAAATTCTACTTTATAAGTAAATAAAAGTAGCTCCAGCTTTAAGAGCATCAAAAACAATCATGTCATTTAACATACCTGATTCTAAATTTGGACATAAGTACTTTTTGTACTTGAAGTATATTTGAATGCCAATACTTTTGTAAGATTATAAATGCAGAACTTGTAACCAAGTATTTTTACGCTGTAGTATTTCTGCTTTCACTACTTCTTACACCACTGCATAAATATGTGTGAAGTTGAACATCTCTGAGAAATAACAGAATTTGTACTTTCAAATTTAAAATATATTTGTGCCTTCAATAGGGCACAGTGGGTTTGTGGCTTAATGCCAAACAAAGTAGGGAAGTAGAGTATTGAGATTTGTGGGGGGATTGTTGTTTTTGGTCTTTGTTGACTTTATGTAATTCTTCACCATGTCGTAAAATCTGGGTTTATGTGTATATGCAATATGTTCTGCCTCACTTGTAGCTCATGTTCCTCTACACAGCCAGGATATGTGCATTTTTATTATTTATGTGATGTGTGTAGGAAGGATATATATGCACATAAAAGTCTCATACAGCTGCAGGACTGCTGTGTTTTATGTTTGTGTTGAATATGGAGATGGATGTCTACATGGACAGGTGTATAAATGTATTTGCATATGGAGTTGTTTGAATAATGTATGGTTGTTGTTGATACCATTTAACAACACAAAGTCTACTTACAACTAGCTGTGCGTTCCTCTGCAGCTCCAGGACCTGCGCTGTGTGCTGCTGGATCATCAGCAGCTCCTGTTGCCGGAGCATCTGCTGCTGAGAGAGCAGCTGGAGCTGGGCAGCGTGTTGTAGGGAGCTGCTCGTACCGTAAACACCCGGCCACACCGGGCCTCCACGATCCATAACATCACCTCCTGCACAGCCATGGGGAGGGAAAAGTTAAAGTAGCCTTCTTTGTCATTACCTTTTTCATATTAAGGATGAAGAAATTATGGTGGTTGTCTTCCACAACCTTATAGAAGAAGGACAAACATCCATTTTCTATTGCCCAACATCTTTTGTGAGATGTTCCCCTGTCACATGAACTACACCAACAGCACTGATGTTTAAACTATTTATTCATTACTTTCAGCTAACCATTTAAACTGTTTACTTTAACGATTACCAACAGTTTCAACTGTTGAGCTAACTGTTTAAACTATTTATGTTTAGCCAACTGTCTCAACTGTTTACTTGTAGCTAACTATTTTAACTGTTAACTATTTAGCTAACCGTTTCAACTGTTTATTTTTAGCCAACTGTTTAAACTATTTATGTTTAGCCAACTGTCTCAACTGTTTACTTGTAGCTAACTATTTTAACTGTTAACTATTTAGCTAACCGTTTCAACTGTTACTTTTAGCTAACCGTTTCAACTGTTTATTTTTAGCCAACTGTTTAACTGTTTATTTTTAGCTAACTTAACTTTTTGCTGACTGTTCAGCGAACTGTTTCAACTGTCAACTTTTAGCTAACCGTTTCAACTGTTACTTTTAGCTTACCGTTTCAACTGTCAACTTTTAGCTAACTGTTTCAACTGTTACTTTTAGCTAACTGTTTCAACTGTCAACTTTTAGCTAACCGTTTCAACTGTCAACTTTTAGCTAACCGTTTCAACTGTTACTTTTAGTTTACCGTTTCAACCGTCAACTTTTAGCTAACCGTTTCAACTGTTACTTTTAGCTAACCGTTTCAACTGTTACTTTTAGCTAACTGTTTCAACTGTCAACTTTTAGCTAACTGTTTCAACTGTTACTTTTAGCTAACCGTTTCAACTGTTACTTTTAGCTAACCGTTTCAACTGTTACTTTTAGCTAACTGTTTCAACTGTCAACTTTTAGATAACTGTTTAACTGTTTATTTTTTTAGATAACCTTTTAACTTTTAGCTGACTGTTCAGCTAACTGTTTCAACTGTTTGCTTTCAGCCAACTGTTTTAACTGTCAACTTTCAGCTAACTGTTTTAACTGTTTGCTTTTAGCTATCTATTTTAACTGTTTGCTTTTAGCTAACTATTTTAACTGTTTGCTTTTAGCTGACTGTTTCAACTGTTTATTTTTAGCTAACCGTTCAACTAACTGTTTCAACTGTTTGCTTTCAACTAATCTTTTCTAACCTTTAAACTAACTTTATCCACTGTACTTTTAGCTTATTATTCCAACTGTTTGCATTTAGCTATCCTTTTGCAATGTATACTTTTAGCCAACTTTCTCAAATAATAACATTTAGCTAATTACTTTAACGATTCACTTATAGCAACTTATTCAACTGTTTACTGTTAACCAACTGTTTAAACTATTTAGCCATTACTATAAGTTATTTATTGTGTCTATTATTCTTGCTTGTCAACTAGTTTTCAACCCACTCTTAATTACACATTGATTAATGTTACAGCTGACTCAATATGTGGATATATTTCATTTTCTTTTCAAATTAGTGGAGCTAATCAACATCTTTTGAACAGCAGAAGTAAAAGTAGACCTGTTGGGGTTCACTGCTCCCTTTTGATACTGAAATAATTTTATTTTTCACTTTATAGAATATAATACTTGTGTCTAAATTGCATCGCAGCGACTTCCTAATTTGCTGTAAAGCAGCAAAGAGCAAAACCTTTGGCACACTATCTAGACAAAAACATATGCAGGCTGTCAAACTTGTTGGAAATGGTCTCACTTTTTTACATTAATTACCAACAACTGACATCTGTTACAAAATGAAAATGATAAGCTTTTATTTATGCTACAACACAATAAATAGTTATTCTAAAAGTGATAAAATCGGCACACCAACATTATGTCCCCATACTTTAGATTTCATATGCACATAAAGATAATGGCTTTCATACCGTAGTGTTGCAGGTGTTCAGTGGGGATGACTATTAACTGTCCAGATTGAGGGTCCCGTGCTAACTGGTATGGAGGAGGCATTGAACCCTGCAAAGAGGGGGGGTAACCTTGGGGGAGAGCCTGGTGTAGAGAGGATGGACCGAGGCCTGAACGAGAAGAAAACGTTTGAAAAGTTGATTTTAAAAAGAGAAAACATTTTCCCAGCTAATCTAAAACTAACACTGACTCAGCGCCATTCCTCACCCAGTATTTATACCCCAGCCATAACAGCACTAAGCACACAAACACTGAATTAAGCTGCTTTTGAGTGATATTGTTTTTTTGCCCTTTGTGTCTAGACAGAACTCACCCTTAGGGAGCAAAATATGTTTGTTTCCATATTACTCAGATGTTATGTGTACAGTAAAACTAATTAAGTGTGTGTTTGTGTCTCAATGCTGTTTCTGGACAGCAAGCGTTGGCGGAGCAGGAATGTCCTGCAAAGATCAGGAATGTCTGAGGAACTTGACCCCTGGAGGCTGATACTGGACGGACAGACAACACCTCCTTTTTCTGCTGCACCAATCACTAAAGGCTACACAGGCGCATGTAGAATTTTGCAAGCACGCCACGTTCTTGTGTCGACTCGATTTAAAGCTTAAGCACAAGGTAGGATAACTCTGCTGACAAGAGAGTAAGAGGTAGATTCTTACTGAAAAGGGCAAAGGAGTTACTGGTACTTCTTTACTAATGCTTTGTGTGGCGTGCAACGTCTGTACTTGTCCACATCTGTCAGTCCAACTCAGTGAACACATGAAGTGGCAGCTTCATGAAGACACGGAAGGTCATTTATCCCTCGACTCTTACATTTCTTATGCATGTGGATGCTTGTTTTTTCCAACAAATAGTTAAACACCTACACATATTAAAATGACTAACACATAAAATAATGACTTTCTCAACCGAGAGGTTAGATAGAACATGGTAATGTTGGACAATAAAATGACTGAAAAATGAATAAAAAAACTATATGTTGAGTTATCCAGGTCTGCTTTCTGTCCCCAGCGTTTATTCACTTTGCTCGTATACGTATTTTGGCTGCTGCCTTTTATTAAATCAAATAACTTCATATATTACACTGCATTCTATTATTCTTGTATTTTACTCCCGTGTTATTCTTTTTCAGATTGTTTTATTTGTCTTATATTGCTCTTAATAATAATAATAATAATAATAATAATAATAATAATACGATAAGTTATTCTTTCATTATCTTTCAATTATCATTATTGTTTCATATCCTTTACTTTATCTGATTGTATTTACTCCCGTTTCATTTTGATCTGTGAGGTTTCCCTGAATGTTCGATATTGAGGGTGGGGGGAGGGGAGTGTTATTTTCCCATGTGTTAATGTATGTATGTGTGAATGTTCTTTCTATGTTAAAACCCAATAAATATAATGTTAAAAAAATAAACAATGTCACAAGGAACATTAAGTCCAATTTTGGGAACATTTAGAAACATGTACTGGTTAGCAAGTGTCTCTGGTGTTCATCCACTTACTGTACGGGGAGCTGGAGAGCCAGACTGGGGGGGCTCCGGGTCGGGGCATCCAGGGGTGAGAGGTGAGGGTCTGCGGGTCGGGGGGCCATCGTCCCGCCCCGGCCAGAGCGGCCCCTCCCGTCACCATGAGGTTAGAGGTCATGAGGCTGGGTGCCATCATGCTGGGAGTCATGCCGCTTGACAGAGGAGGGGGATGCATCTGAGTGAACTCTGCCAGCTCCTTGGACTCTCTGGAAGATAGTTTTATTTATTACTGTGTGTTTAGAAGTGAATTTTTTGAACAAGTAGATGTATTTTTGACAAGGTTAAATGACTTCTTACGCACAAACTCAGAGAATGATCATTTGTTTATCAATTTTCACCCCTTTTTATGAAGAATGCTTTGTTTTTCACACAAGAAAGTTCTCAAATGAATTTAAGTAAATGGGGGCCGTGTTTAAGAAAGCAATCCTTTGTAAAAACATATAACAAATCTAACATAACTTCTGCAGTATAATCCAAGTCTCACTTGTACAAATTATAATTTTGTTGCAGAAGCAAGTGTGTGACATTCAAGTGTGTGACATTCATTTGACCCTTTTACAATTGACAAACATTTAAGTTAGCATGAAGTCGCTCACCTGAGCACTTTGTCCTGCTCGCGCTCCAGTCGGCCGACCAGCATCCGATCGTCATGGTGACGACCGCGGTCCTCGCCCCGCTCCTCATCTGTAACGAGTTCACAGAGAGAGATGTGTGTTAGCTTAGTGTGTTCAAACCCTGATTTCAAATGTGAAATATATGCAGTCCTGGTGGAAAGAAGTGAGTTAGTTCCTAATAAGTTGTATGAAAATAATTTGGAAAGGGAATTAAACTTACAATTATTTCGTTTTTTGACCTTTTAAATGATGACGGTAATTTAATCATAAGCACCAGAGCATTACCATTGTCTTCATTCATTATGTTGCTATTTTAGTAGAGGTTATTTTGTCAAATGTCATTTTTAGGTTCCTCATTTTAAAGGTTTATAGATGTTCTATCAAATTGAGAAGTTAATTGTACATTGCCTAAACATTCAGTAACAGTCATAGTCATATTTCAAACAGATAGTAAACTGGTATAGATACGATGTTAAGTTTGGTAGTTTCTTTATTTAGTGGCAGGGTATCATTATTCACCTTAAACGGGTAAACCCTAGCTGCTTTGAATGAACCTAAACACCCAATAATTCCAGTCTTAAGTTATTTATGTAGCTTATATCCACTTAAGCATAATAAAGAGCGCTTGGGTGCAACATATATTTATAAAATCGGATACAAGCTGTAAAAGACGATACAGCGCATGACTGGGAAGCAAGAGGAAGCAATAATGTGGAGAGAGTGAAAGAGGAGAGTATGACAGCAGAGGGGAGGACAAGGTGACTCTGGCTCTATAACGGTGACACCACACAGCATGTCAAAACGGGAGGAGAAACTAAAAATACGATGTTGGGCCGCAGCCTGAACACAACGCGCGTGTGCACACATACTGTAGTGTACAAGCACACACACAGTGACAGCTCTCCCTCTGGGTGTCAGCTCTTATCAGTTATTAGTCTGCCACCACACACACACACACACACACACACACACACACACACACACACACACACACACACACACACACACACACACACACACACACACACACACACACACACACACACACACACACACACACACACACACACACACACACACACACACACACCACACACACACACACACACACACACACACACACACACACACACACACCACACACACACACACACACACACACACACACACACACACACACACACACACACACACACACACACACACACACACACACACACACACACACACACACACACCTCTTTCCTGTAGTGTTATATTGTTTTGTGTGTCAATAGTCTGCAAAGGCTAAAATCCCTGTGTTCCCTCCAAAGGGAGTTACTCTCCCACACACTCCCCCCCGCCTGAAATGTCTGAAAAGAGGTGCTGCAGGCAGTAGGAGAAAAATAAAGAGCTTTTTGAACATTAAGGCATGGAGACATGTCACAGTAGAGGCAGAAAATACAAGTATGAACCTAATAATGAACAGAATATGTCCTCTTTAAACCCATCCTGCTCACTACGAGGCCCGATGGCAAAAGACAGAGATGGAGAGTTTTAAAAAAACAGGGAAAGCACTCAACCGAGCAGCACCGAATAAACATGAGGCTCTGCTCCTCTTCCCTGCTAACCCTCTTCCGTCTCATCGAAGCTGACTGAAGGTCCCCGAGCAGCAGAAAGGTTTTATACGAGTGTGCTGAACCCTTCAGTTCTGCTCTGAAAGCATGTGCGTGTCAGAGTGTGTGTGTGTGTGTGTGTGTGTGTGTGTGTGTGTGTGTGTGTGTGTGTGTGTAAAGGGACGAGGGACTTTAACAATCCCTGACATGCTCCGCGGGAAGAGGTTTCAAGACTGTTTCCAAGGTTACAGGGAGCCTGTCCCACATGCTATCGTAAAGCTAGCGATTAGCACTGCTACGCCCCCCTTCTTCCTCCTATCGCTGCTCCCCCATCTCACACTCCTCTCTTTTACTTCCTGACATACCTCCCTCTCTTCCCGTCTATCACCCTATCGATCTACGTCAGCCTCTCCCTCTTCTCCTCCTCCATCCCTCCGCTCGTTCATCCATCTGTTTGTGTGTTCTCTGCATAAATCCTCCGTTGTTTATATAGAGCTCTTCTCTGCTATTAAACCAATCACTCTGCTTGAGCAAGGAAATGAATAAACGCCCACCCTGACGCACGCATGCAAATACACAAACATCTCACGTGGACGCGCCAACACACACACACACACACACACACACGGTCCGTCAGTCTCAAGAGTGATCCATTGCTTAGCAACGCACCCATGGTCTTATTGTAATTCAAGGCTTGTTTGTAGCTTTTAGCAGCACTCTGTAATGACATGTTTAATGCAGAGAGCTGAAGAAAAGAGTGGAGAAAGAGCAAGGGGGCCTGAGGTGGGACAAGAGGAAAGGGTGGGGAAGGAGAGAGACATTCAAGCAAATGAAAAGAGGGAGAAACAGGAGAACGATGGAGAGGGAGAACTGTATCTGAATGACCTTGACGTACGTGAACAGAGGCATTGCTATGCACAGCCCACAGACTGCCCAAAAGGAGCTTTCAATGAAACACAACCCATGACATAATTAGTAATTCGGGCAAGGGGGTTGAGGAAACATGACTTTGATCCAAAAAGAAAATGAATCCTCTATTATTCATGCAGCAAAATGAGGAATCATTTGCTCTGGTTCATTTGGCCGAGGGGATCTACGCTCCCTGCTGAGCCGTTCCTGAGAGGAGGAGGAAATACATCAGGATGAGGTTTCAAATGACTCGAGTACACTTGGTTTAACTTGCCAGAAACCATTGGATGGGAAATGACTTGTGAGAGTGTGATGGTCACCACACGACTGCGGCGAGCATCTCAAACTTGTATCCAATGAAGATGCACGAAGCTTTGAACACAACGTTTTTTCTGTTTAGCAGTTGACTAAGGATATAACGAATGATCATTTTCAATATAGATTATTATTTTGCACAGAATATGTTCGATTTGGTCTACAAAGAAATGCACATCCAAGTACCTAAAGGTCCAAGGCGATGTTGTTAGTTCAGTCTCAAACCCAAATGTTTGAGACTGAACTTGAGCTTTGACAATTTTAAGTATTTTAAAAGTATGTGCTTTATTTATAAATGTTTACATGGACTGCCCCCCCCCCCCCCCCCCCTTAGGGGAATTCATCCACAAAAAACACACTGGACGCTGCACTAGGTCAGAAACCAGAGGAGACTGAAGTCCACCGCAGACGGACCACTTTTGGACAAAATGTCCTCTCCGTTAAAGGCAGCTCTTTGTGGAATAGCAGCTCATTGTGGAATAGCAGCTCATTGTGGAATAGCCTCCCAACTGAGATACGGGATTGTCCCACTCTCAATAGCTTCAAAGGTCAACTCAAAGAATGGTTGAGAAACAAACAGACGTGCAATCACCGCTAAATGCACTTTAACACAGGGGTATCTCCTCTTGTATCTCCTCTTGCACTTTATATATCGTAGCTGCTATATTGTACTGCCATGTCATAAATACTTGTGTGTGCTGCTCTTGCTCTTTTGCACCTTTTGCATATCATGTATTTTGTTTTTGCTATGTTTGTAAAAATGTAAACTTCTTAAATGTTTTATGTGAGGGACTGCGGATGGAAATTAGCTCAAAGCTAAATCTGGCACTGTTACGCTTGATACATTTTAATGTTTTAAGTGTTCATTACTGTGCATTGTCCCTGCCAAATAAACGATTAAATTAAAATAAATAAATGTATCAACTTTAACATAAAGCAGATCAAAAGCTGGTAATTTCATATATAGGCAAGGCAAGTTTATTTATATAGCACCTTTCAGCACGCGACAATTCAAAGTGCTTTAGAAAATAAAATAAGAGGCTAAGGAAAGAATTATCTGTCATTTCTGCAAAAGCTACTTTTTTGCAATAGACCAATTATCCAAATAGTTGATCTAATCACTGTAGCTGTATGAGTGGTATCTCAAAGTCCAAAATCTTTGTCTGAAACCCAAATATGTTCACTTTAATATTATAAAAAGCCGGTAAAAAGCTGGTCATCTCATATATATCAGGCTAAGAACAGTGCTGTGTTATTTATGCATGAAAAATACTTATTGATGATCAAGTAAGTTAAAGATTGTTTGCTGCTGATCTGATCATTGCAGCTGCACAGTATTTGATTGGTGCAGTGACTTTTCTTACATAAAAGACATTACCTTTGATTGCGTTTTGCAGCATTGCTCTCTGGGAGTCTGAGTTTCCTCCGCTCTGTTTGCTGGAGCTGCTGCTGTCTCTCTGCCGGGCGACGGCCACCGCGATGCCCACAGGGGGGTGGCGTACCTCCCCCTCCGCCTCCCGCCCAAACGAGCGGGCGCTGTCCGGCCTCTCCTGCTCCCTCTTCAGGGGGGGCGGCACCCTCATGGATCCCACAGAAACCCTCTCTCTATCTCTGTCTCTGTCTCTATCTCTGTCTCTGTCTCTATCTCTGTCTCTGTCTCTGTCTCTGTCTCTGTCTTTGTCTTTCTCCCTCTCTCGTTCTCTGTCACCCTCTGAGACCACGTGAGCCAGACCCCCAAAGGGCCCTCGTCCCTCCCCTGTCTGCCTGGAAGCCCCGGGCCCCTCAGCAGCAAAGTTCCCGCTGTATTTAATCAGACTCTGCATGGCTGAGACCTCAGAGGGGTCCGGCCCCGCCACCCCGCCTCGCTCACTCGCCAACGACACGCCAGGTCTGTAGAGCGTCGCGGGGTCCAGGTAGCGTCTCTGACCCCCCTCCTCCCCAGGCCGCTGGGAGGGGTGAGTTTGAGAGGGGTGAGTTTGAGAGGGGTGAGTTTGAGAGGGGTGAGTTTGAGAGGGGTGAGTTTGAGAGGGGTGAGTTTGGGGGGAGTGCGGGGTGCTTCCTGCTCGGTGGGTCGTTGACATCTGTGTGTGTGCGGGGGAGGGGAGTGTGTGTCCGTGTTGAGCCGCCAGCGCAGCCATGTGACTCGTAGCATAATTAGCTAACGGGCTAATCGTGTTCCATTTAGGCTCCGCCCCCGCCCGCTCTGTGCCCAATCTGATTGGCTGTTTGGAGACATCCGGGCTGAACCGTGACTGGCCGGAAGGGTACGACCCCTTCCTGGCTCGTTTTCCGATCGATCCATTGGAACAAATGACCGACCCCTCCTCTCTTTGATTGCCTGAATCGCCAGATTGGGAGAGTCGAGGGTGATCCGGCAGGCTCCTCTCTGGAAACCTGTAGCTCTCCCTCTCTCTCTCCCTTTCTCTCTCCCTTTCTCTCTCTCGCTCTCTTTCTCTCTCCCTCTCCCTCTGTTTGTTGTCCCGGGCCTGAGAGGCGATCTGGATCGGGCCGACCCCGCTCGTCGTAAACCTCACACAGAAGGCACATATGTCGGCGCACTCACCCGCTGAGTCTCTCTGTGTGTGGAGGGGTGAGGCTGGGCAGAGGGGTGAGGCTGGGCAGAGGGGTGAGACGCGGGGGGAGGAGGGGGGATGGTGGCCGTAGTCGTTTTCCTTTGTCGGTCCGGGTTATTGGATTCTTCCCGACCCCCACTTTGAGGGAAGGCGTGATGAGGGGGTGAGGGTCTGGATCGGGGCTCTGTGGAGTGAGTTTTCTGCTGGTGGGGGTTAGGGTGATGATGGAAGGGCCACGAGTCTCTCTCCGTATCCCTCTCTTTCTCCCCTCTCTTTCTCTTTCTTCTCCCGCTCCTCGCTCCTCCCGTCCTGCGTCAGGTCCACCACACTGTGAGGCCTCTGATCCTCTAATTCTGGACCGTTCACGTTCCCGCTCCCTCTCCCCACGGTAAGACCGGTCCCTCCCCCCGTCCCGGGACGTCCTCTGCGGGGGGGTGAGCTGGGCGGGCGCTGGGAGGAGCCGACGGAGGGTGGAGAGGCAACTGGCTCAACGAAGCTGGCAGGTAAAACCCTTCTGAAAACACACAGATAAGAAAGTGAGTCGAAAACGATATATCCAGAGGTGGAAGTAGTGGAGTACAAATACTTTGTTATATGTTTCTGGTATCAGTACTTTACTCCACTACTTATTTTTCTGACGACTTTTTACTTTGACTTCTTACATGTTGAACACAAATACCTGTACTTTCTACTTCTTACATGTTGAACACAAATACCTGTACTTTCTACTTCTTACATGTTGAACACAAATACCTGTACTTTCTACTTCTTACATGTTGAACACAAATACCTGTACTTTCTACTTCTTACATGTTGAACCCAAATACCTGTACTTTCTACTTCTTACATTTTGAACCCAAATACCTGTACTTTCTACTTCTTACATGTTGAACACAAATACCTGTACTTTCTACTTCTTACATGTTGAACACAAATACCTGTACTTTCTACTTCTTACATTTCCCAAACAGGCTGGTTCCTTTAGTTTGAATGTTTGTTTGGAGGCATGATCATTATTATTTAGAGTCATTGCGTGCCTATTGATTTGAACACGATCCGTGTATCCATCATTTCCTGGTCTTCTCTAAAGAAGAGGGACCAATGAAAACGTTGTCATGTTGCCGTTGTTCAGCATGGAAACATTCATTAGCTAACAATGACATTATTGTTCTATTAATATAAAGGGAGGTCAGGTACTCTTTAAAACAGCTGCTAGTTATGGGTACTTTTTATTTAAGTACATTTCAAAGCCCTCTTTACTTTTACTTGAGTAAAGAAGTTTAGTCAGTACTTAGTATTTTTAAACACGAGTATCTGTACTTCTACTTGAGTAAAGGATGTGTGTACTTTTGCCGTCTCTGGATATATCTATATGGATCAGGATTATGAGAGAATCTGAACACTAAATGAAGCAGTTTGTTGCGAACATTGCTGACCTTTGTGTGAGTCGTAGAGATGGTGCTGGGGGAGGGAGGAGGGGTCCAGGTGTCCCAGGGAGAGGTGGTAAGGGCTGGAGTACAGACTGCTGGGTATGGGAGGGTAGCCTGAAGACACACAAACAGAACAGGTCAATACGATGAGATTTTACAACAACTTGTTCTCCGGGTCTTCCTTGAGAACTTAAACAAAATGTGATTAATGGAGAATACTGTCTGCATCTCATAACTGTTGCAAAACAAGGGGATCCAGTCCGACTTGAATCCGTTGTATCCATTGCAGTTGGTCGTAGGTGAAGCTCAACAGCTAACTATGCTACATGTAGGTAGGTAGGTAGGTAGGTAGGTAGGTAGGTAGGTAGGTAGGTAGGTAGGTTGGTAGATAGGTTGGTAGATAGGTTGGTAGATAGGTTGGTAGATAGGTTGGTAGATAGGTTGGTAGATAGGTTGGTAGATAGGTTGGTAGATAGGTTGGTAGATAGGTTGGTAGATAGGTTGGGTAGGTTGGGGTGTAGGTTGGTAGATAGGTTGGTTGGTTGGTCGATAGGTTGGTGTAGGTTGGTCGATCGGTTGGTAGATAGGTTGGTCGGGTTGGTCGTTTGGTCTGGTATTGGTTGTAGTGTCGGTCGGTCTGTAGGTAGGTAGGTAGTAGGTAGGTCGGTAGGTAGAACTTTAAAAAAGAATCTTACACACATGCTTACACTGGTTTGGTTTATTAAAAGCGATGAACTTGCTTGTCATTTTAAGTTTGTATTTTCATGTTGGATTTCACTTATTGTAAGTCTCTTTGAATAAAACGTCATTAAATGTAATGTTGTGTAATGTTGGGCGGGAGTCTGCCCGACAGCCAGCTGCTGCTCTCAGAGACGGGTCTTAATATAGACAAAGCCTAGCGCTGAGTGTAAGACTCTGGATCTGTGTGTCAGGACTGAAACTCTGATACTGGCTGGTAGGTGTCACCACATGTGAAAAAAAACACCCAGAGGGGGCGAGACATTCCCCGCACCCACACTCAGACCACTCCAAGAAATATCAAAGACGCCGCCGGGCAGCAGAGCCGAAATATCAACCCGTCTCCTCCGATCCGAAGGGCAGAAATGGAGAAGCGGACGGAAATATAAGAGGAATGATGTGACGGGACATGCGTGATAAGTTTATAGCAAAGCTTCTTTCAACCACAGCTAACAGCTAGCATTGATCCAAGACAAATCCAGAGTCTTGCTCTTTACCGCTGCACGGAAACATCTCCAGCTTTCAGTGACTGTAGCTTTTAGATCCAGCCACCAGGTATTAGGAATCTCTTAGGCTGTGAAACATCTCTTTGTATCAGAGCATTTGGAGGATCCTTTAGCCAGCCAGAGCTTTTAGCTTCTTTAGCTGCAGATACCTACTCCATGTCTGCATGCTTTAATGTTCAAAAAGCTCTTTATTTTTCTCATACTGCCTGTGCTGCAGCACCTCTTTTCACCCTCTGTCTGAAACCTCTGATTGGTTAGCTGGCCGGCTCTGTTGTGATTGGTCAACCGCTTAGAGATGTCCCGCCCCTTAGCCTATGACGTAGGCTAAGGGGCAGTTATGTTCTGCAACTAAGAAACCAACTGCAATATATGTCCTGTTTACATCGGCACACGTATGCCCAGTGTACGTCAATGGTCATGTGATACAGGTTTTCGGCCGTGTTAGTATAGATGGAAATTCTTGTGGATGTGGCTTTAAGCTCAAACTCCTTCACACTTCATATCTTGAGTGTCTAAACTGCACAGAAACCAAAGTGTAACGGAACAAATTCACCATGTTACGGTGGTTTACTGAGACGTGCCAGACTATTTTTGGCTCTGAGCAGTTGCCAGGGAACCAGCTAAATGTCCAGGAAGTTACTCCTCCGATTATTCCCTTTAAACATAGTGCACTCTCTTAACTGTGAATCAAACACAGCAAAATGGAGATAGAAATCATACCGAATCTGATGCGTTTGGGAAGCAGTGGATCTGTGTAAGCCTGCGATCAGTTTTAAAAATGAGCCCTAAATAGAAACCATTCGTCCTTCTCTCTTTACCTTACCGAAATGCAGTGCGGGATACACACTCCCATCTATCTGACCTTCTACTCAGCGAGATTTGATAAGGACGCGGAGGACACGAGGGAAAGAGGAGAGATTCAATCACCTGCAGAGCGAGTCTTCACAAGAGACAGAGGGGTCCGTAGAGAGGGACGAAACCCAGAGATATAAACCTGAGAGAGTCTGAAACTGTGTTCATAAGGTAGGTCATAGAGATGTAGTGGGGAAGTGGGGCAGGAGAGCTACAGATGGAGACAAAGTGCATATTGGACCAAAAAGAACAAGAGAGAGGAAGATAGATTACAGTACCAGACAGGTGGAGGACGGAGGAAACGAGATGCTATAGGACACGGCTCGGAGCAAAGAGATAGAAATTGAACAAGATCCCAGCGGTGTTCGCTACGAGAGACAGAAGAAAGAGAGTCTCCAGGGCTTTGGACAAAAGCGAACTGTGAGAGAAATGTAGTGAAAATGTGATGCATCTTCAACAAACTGGATTCTGTAGCAACCCAGAAAAACAGAGCCCTAGTTGTAAAGAGTGTGTAGTGATTTATGGGGATACAGCGGACTATCACGGACCGTCCACACAGCAGCGTTAAAAAAACATCTTGAAACGCTTCTGCCCATTCACTTTGAATGGGGTGACGTCACTTTGCCTCACTTTTCGCCGAACTGCATTGTGGGCAGGCGAGCGGAGATTTTCAGGATTTTCAGGATTCAAAGTTGAACAATGTTCAACTTTTGAAGCTGAGGTGGAAGCGTCAGCCAATCAAATCCCGTGTACGCAAATCTGACCGTTCAAGCTCTAGCCAATCAAACGGCGTGTATGCTGGGAGAGACACCGCAGGTCATTTCCTCATATTCCAAAAAATGGAGGAGAAATTAGCGGTAGCGAATCAATCACCCGGTGCTTTATGACCAGACCTACCGGGATATAAACCGGAGGAGCCAGGCATGGAGGGAGGTGGCAGAGACAGTGGTAGGTTTTCGTCTGTTTGGGGAGTTTATATCCAGTTTACTTCAAACTCTTTTGCTTCGTATGTCGGGGGCGGGAGATTCATGTGATTGGTTGTTGGTGCCTTGCTCGCAAAAAATCCCCAAGCTTCAGATACGCCCACCTCCAAGATTTTTTTAACGCTGCTGTGTGGACGGGCCGTCATGGGCATGTTTTTCTTTCATCGACACATCTTCTCAAAAGGTGGCATGCTACAGTGGCTGTGGTCAGTGTTTCTCTGTTTTGCTGGGGTGAGATGAATGCACACACCTGGCCTGCACAATCAATTGAAATGCTAATGAAATCACAGTGTGAACTAGTGCAATAATAAAAAAAATGTAGGATGCGCAATTTTGTTTAAAAGGCTAATTAGTTGTTAAAATGACATTTTGAATGAAGTATTGTGGATCTTCAAAGATATCCTGGACTAGGGATGCCAGAAACTGACCATGACCAAAATCGAAGATCGGACAGCCCTGGCGAATATTAATCGATTAATCGCCCCCCACCGGGGGGGAGAA